AGCCTGCTGATGCTGCTGGTGCATTCGACCTTGACGAAACCAAGGTTGAGGTTGAGGTCGAAGTCGATGAAGGCGATACAACGGATGCGGGTGAGGATGAGCCTTACCCACTTGGCTCTCACCCATGCCGCGAGTGCGCAGCAGTCGTTGCCAATGGCATGCTGTTCTGCCTCCGTTGCAAGGCTCCCCAGACGGATGACTCTAAGAAGATCACAAAGCGAGTCTTTGAGAATTCGAGACTCCGCCAGCGCCTTCTTGCCACCGCTGCGACCGGAGCCCAGAAGCCCATCGATGATCTCCTTGCGAGTGACCTTCGAGGCCTGGGCGAGGGACCAAAGAAACGTGGTCAGATGAGCGCAGAGGCTGCCGCCATTCGTGACGCCAAAGACCGAAAGATCAGGGCCGCCAAGTTGAACTTTGACACCGTGTCCGACCGCTTCGAGAAGGACGCGCAGTTCAACGTGAGGATGATGCAAGAGGGCCGCAACCTCGAGGACATGCAGAAATTCGACCACCTGTCGAACGCTGTGCTTCCCGATCCAGGGCGCAGTGAGGAGCAGCGCTACTTGCGTGCCGGCTCCCATTATGGTGGTGGCAATGTCCCGCCTGCGAAGTTGGTCTATTATGCCCACTGCGAAGTGGAGCCGTTGAGGAACTTGCGGTTTATCGATGATACCGCGGATGTCCCCATCGGCTTGACCTACCTCGGTGCATTCCTACCTCCGCGACTCTATGCTGAGGTGGCAGCAGTAAATGACGCTGCAAAAAGGATCCTGACTTTCGACGGCGAGGTCTATGTGTCGGCTACCACAATTGAAGGCATCACAACTGAGATCGGACAGATTCTTACCGATAGCCTCCGTAGTGCTCAGAACCAGACAGACCAAACGGAACGTCTGGCAGAGCGCAATCGCCAGGCTGCAGTCCAGAACCGCCCATCCCAAAAGGGACGTGGTCGCACGACAGCACCCGAGCCAATGTACAGAGGCTATACTCAGGCCCAGTGGGACGAGTACTATCGCCAGCGTCGTGGAGGTTACACTCAGGCCGAGTGGGATGCATGGAACCGCACCCATAGGCGCTGAGTCCTCATTTTGATTTGCTTCGGACCTGCAGGGCTTCCCCGTTGTGCTTTATAAATGCTCGCTTTGGCAAGTCTTCAAAACCGTTGAAGCCCAGGGCAACCTGGAGCCATGTACTATCCGCCTTAGCTCGAGCAGCACGGCGAGGGGGTGTAGATTTTACCCTGCCTCCATTGCTATTCCTATGGTCCTTAGCTATGTCTTTACGCGATTGCACTTGGCCCAAGTCCCCCGTGGAAAAAGGTCACAAGGGTTGACTGACCGGTAACTAGACGTGCCAAGCTGGTAGCCTGGGAAACTTCAATAAGGGCACTGCAGTATACCAGCAACGAGGCAGCGTCACTGTGCAGTTACCCGCGAAGACCCAGTTAGACATTGCCCTTGCGGTAGCGTGGAGTGCCCTGCTCCTAAACAAAAATTGTACTGTCTAATCTCAAGACCAGGGTCACACCCTGAAAGGCGGGAAGGGGGGGTTATAGGGGGTAGCGGAAGGGCTATGTAGGGGGATAGGGACAAGAATGGGAGGGGAGCTAACCGGAACAAGCCACAGGCTGCTGCCAAGTCTTGAAGGCCTTGTCACTTTGCCTTGCTCTGAACCCGAATTCAGCAAGATTGCGGGGGGCGGGATGGGGAGTGGAGATGGGGCGGAGGGGGGGAGTGAATCTGTTTGAGGCTTAAGGCTTATGGTTGAGGGGCTTAGGATGTTGGGTCTTTATGTCTAAACCCTAAACCGTAAACCGCTGTTTTGGCCCAGCCCTAAACCCTAAACCCTTAAACCTTAAACCCCTGAACCCTATGCGGACCCTAAACCCCGAAACCCCGAGCCAGTAAACCCAAAACCGCAGACCCCCTCAACCCTCAACCGCTAAACCTTGAACCCCAGACCCCTAAACCCCTAAAGCCTAATTCACTGTGCAGTTACCAAGCCGACGACCCAGTTCTACATGGCATACCTGTGATTCAAGCTATAGCTCTTGCGCTAGCGGGCGGAAGGGTGGGTGGGGGGGTGGGTAGGGGGCATCGGGGTAGGGGTGAGGACAAGATTGCCTGGAAAAGGGGGTGGGGCCGGAAACCAACGGAAAGGGCGTCCTACCTGTTTATATACTTATATACATACGTACATACATACACACATATGCAAATATGCGCTTTGAAAAAGACAAACAGATGTAGACACAGTGAGAAATTTCAATAGAAATAACCGTATAAACGCATGAAAATTCCAATCCGGATATAGTTGTAGCTAAACAGAAAGTAAATGTATGTAAACATATAGTTGTATCAACCGAAAGTAAGTTAATGTAAACATAAGCAGTTTAGAAACACAAAGGACAAAGGTTATTGCACGGACGGACGGACGGATGAATGAATGAATGAATGAATGAATGAATGAATGAATGAATGAAATGGAATGAATGAAATGGAATGAATGAATGAATGAATGATTAAATGGAAGAACAAATACACAAATTGACAAGTAGTTAAATAAAGGCATATGTATATACATTTACACATACATGTATACATATCATATATATATATATATATGTATATGTATATATATATATACATATATATATATATATATGCATTATCATGTTTGTTTTCGCATCATTGTTTACGTCTGTATTTATACGTGCGTGCTACCCCCCCTCATCTGGCTTTTCAACATGAGTTGAAAGCGATTCGATTTTTCTGTGCCGAAGATGTGATATTAATGTCGATGACGATTTGTTTTGTTTGGTCTTTTGTCATTGCTCCTGTCACGCTAGCAAGCGTGGCCAGGCTCTACGAGGTGCTGGCAAACATGATAGTCGATGCCGAATGCTGAAAGTTCTGAGAAGCCGCGCTACATGGGTATGTTTTTGCTAAGAGTCGTTTGCCGTCGCGCGTCTTTAAGGATTATGACTTGTTGGGAGGATGATAACGTTCTTTGTTTAACGTTCTTTCGTTCAGTATTGCTTGAGGATATACTTCGCTACTCCGTGGTCATGTCAGTGTTGTGATGGATGCATGCTGCTGCGTTGTGCTGCACGATGTTGGCATGGGCATGGTGGTGCTGGATGCTGCTGGATGCTGCTTCCATGTGCATGGTGTTGGATGCAATGGGGACGCTAGTGCTGGATGATGCTTGCATGGGGATGGTAGATGCTACTCCCAGCCCCAAAACCTTCAATCGTATGCATGATTCGCATATAGCCGTACATATATTCAGTCCAACACAAATCCGTTTCCTTTCAGTATGAATTACCAATGAGTTCAGAGTGATCCGAATATATAGCTTTCAGTAAGTCGGATGTATCTCCCAAATCTGACGAAATTGATCCGATGCAGTTTACCGCGATAGGCAAATGAGGCGATGCAGATTTGGCAAAGACAAGCACACATCCGTTTCAATGAATATGAGTTCCCATGTATTCAAAATGATTCGAATATTTTGCTTTCAGTTAACTCGGGTGTATCTCTCAAATCTGACCAGGTTGTTCTGATGCAGTCTACTGCGAGAGGCAAATCTGACGAAGAGGATCCGATGCAGATTTGGCAGCGATAATCGCAAAGCCGTTTCAATGAAAATGAATTCCCAATGTTTTCATAAGGATTCGAACATGTCGCTTTCAATTAGCTCTCTTTGGTTGCAAATCCGTGGTTCGGAACTTGCAACCACGCAAAAGACAAGACCCCAAAAAGGGACGCGCCGAATCACGCGAAGTGCCACGCCTACCATGGTTTTCACGAAACTAGCCCTGAAACCGCATCACTTTTTTTTTCAGGCCTCGCTTTAGGTCCTAAGATGCGCTCGCGCTGTGGCGAACCGCATTTGCACCAAAAACGCGCGACAGTTTTCCGACACATGCGGATGTTTTTCTTCGTGCAAGGCGTCTGTCGTGGTGTGGGATAAGCATGATTGCATCCGAAATGGCTCGTCATCTTTAGTTGTAAGTTGTACAACTGCGTATGTTCCACTGAAATCGACTGCACGATTTTGTGAAAGCTTGCCTTGTTACTTCATGAGATAGGGTATTCTGGTGAATACGAATACATACTCTGATGCAAAGCCGAAGCCGTAAACCCTGGAAGTTACAAGGACAGACATGCAAATCGAGGTGGCAACACTACACATTTTCAACTCACTCTAGTGTTGAGCGAACATGTGACGGTTTTCGTTTTCTTACAACGCAAGCAGTTGGCTTTTGCACGTACGTCTTACTCACTACTGACGTGATATTCATCTAACACTTACCTTGTACTTCTCTCAAATCCCGTTTAGTACAAAAATCCGCTATGGCTAACTTTACGCTAATATCGAACGGACATTGGATTGACATTGAGTACTGACATACCATTTAGTCAGAAGAACTCGTCGTGGCGTAGGGCAGTGCCCAAAGACGGTCCCAGAATTCTTCCCCCTTTCTTCGGCGGATCCAGCGCAAACCGATTTCCCCAAGCAGTGGCGCTTCCCCCCTGGCTTGCAGGATCCAGAGAGACACCCGAAAGGCTTTCCATATTCTTTGATATACAGCAAATGCTGCAAATCAGGTCCCGCATCCTGTCATTTACACCGAAAGCCCGCGACGCTCATCTCTTGCTCTGGTTCGGTGCGCATGCTTCGCTGACGTCGTACAAGTTACAGAAGTCTCCCGGGAGGCGTGAAAAATTGTAAATTTTTGATGCTCTACGAACCATGTTTTTCTTTAGAAAACCTTGTGTTTTTAGCTGTACCCGGGAGAAACGATTCCGTGTGTTCCTGTGACTCTCGCACGTAAGGCTGGGGCACAAAGGGGGGATCCCACACATGTACATCCATAATGTTTAAGCATTTTATTATAAACATACAGATTTGGATTTAAATGTAGACGTGCACGTGTATGTGTGTGTGTGTGTGTTGTGTTCTTTGACATCGGAGAAAGTCTGCCTTAGTTCAACTGGCGAGATTGCTTTGCACAACACGTTCTTCAATCGCTACGTCCGCATGACAGAGCTGGTAGTGGACAGCAGCGAGCAAGTCGATGAGCAGGATTCTGAAGCTTTAGGAATACTGAAGGTTTTGGTGCACCTTTGAATTGAGGGTTTGAGAAGTTTTCCAGATTGAATTTCGCGATTGCAGGGCTGCTGACTTCCGTGCCGGCAGATTGGTATGCGGCATTTGTTCTGTTCTGCGCTGGGTTTGGCACGTCGGACCTCAAAAATCTATCGACCTCAGTCTCAACGAGCCTATTTCATCCCCATCTCAGCAGGATCAAGAGATGGCACCTAGATATAAGCGGTTCCGGGAAATCCCAGAAATCACAGCTCCTGCGAGAGGACTTTCTTGATGTTGTCCCCGAGCAGAACTTCAAGATCGTGACGGTCGCCGGAGTCCCCGAAGTCTCCGAAGCTTTCACGCAGGTCGGCCAAAGAGAGCGAGAGAGAGAGAGAGAGAGAGTGCACGTGCATGTGCAACACCGAATACCAGCAATACAAACACTGGTACGCGGTTCCGCATATGTATGCATGCATGTATGTATGTATGTATGTATTGTGCACAAAGCATCTCGGCTGTCAGTGACGACGAAGAGTCGTGTAGATCGGGGCCAATGCCCTGCTGCCCTCTGGGCAGGGTTTCCTTGCTGCTTGGAGTGGGGATCCTTTCGATTCTTTTGCTTCTGACTCTTGAGCTCTTCCAAATTGGTCAAGTTTTTCCAGACTTTGGGGGCTTGCTGGAGGGCTTTGTTTCAGCAGCAGTTGCCGGGGCCATGGTTCAGATGGAGCTGGTCGCGGTTCACGGGTCAAACAAACAGCCCCGCCGACTGTATGAGATCGACCCCCAGGGGATCAGAGTACGGGCTAGTGTGGAACAGCAGCTGTTCTTATCCATGTGGCAGCAGCAATCCATCAGGGTGCAGATGGTACTTAGGCGCAGGTGCGACCGAAGATGGGATGCCGCTTCCGCTTTGTGCATTCTACGAGGCTTGGTTCCTTCAGAGACCCGCAGAGGATGGCCGTCTTACGAGATGTCAGTTTGCGTGACCTGGAATTCTGCGCGGCCATGGTTGGCATATTTTGTGTCCGCCAAGACCCGGGGCTTGACCTCATGGATTGACCCCTGATGACCCCTGCAGCTGGGGCAGACTTGCCCTAACCGAGCTTCGACACTGCTGGAACGGAGCATGGCGGCTCCACATGCAGTGCCATAAGCTCCCCCGCCTCCTGCTCGAGGAGGCACCCAAACCGTGGTTCTTTCCAGGGCTTTTCTTGTGCACTAGTCTGCAGATGCCTGCATCAATCGGCCTGGCATTGCGTAGGGCTCCAGGAGTGCCTTGACTTGGCAAAGCATGGCTGATGGTGCAAGGCCCCCGGCCTCAGGATCCGATTCTGAGACGGAGGAACTGTTTGTGGAGAGCCCCAGCACGGATCTCCGATCCCAGTGCAGGAGCAGTATGCGGACCGCGCCCTCTCAGGCCACTTATCCATGGCTATCATGCAGGCTCAGCGTGAGAGGGGCCATGGAACGCGCATGGCACTGACTATCGTGGAACCAGGAGCCGTAGAGTCGGGAACTTCTTCATCCGAGTCAATCACATGAGGCCTGATGAGTCTTATCACCCATGGGTGCTGTGGACGGCAGACGATGACGCCGAGATGACACACTTTGACCCGCCAAGGGGCGGGGGACTCACGAGGGAAGCTGCCCGAGCTGTTGAAGCAGACCTTGGCGCGGATGGCACCCTCGCAGCTCTGGACGCCTTGTCGGACTCGGACTTGGTCAGCTCGGAGTGGCGAGAGGCTGCGGGCCCGGCCACATAGGCGACATCGACATCCTTGCCTGCAGCTTCCTCGATGGCCACCCTCAGGGCAAGCCAAGGGCCAAGGCCAACCGCAAGTGGGGACCTACCGGTGCCTGAGTCGTCTGCACTTCCATGCACATGTCTCCCTCTCTCCTTAGTGGTTTAGGATCCTTCTCCCCCTCCCCAAACCCAGTCCCTGCGTCAGGAGACGAAGGGATTCCAGTGGGTAAGAGTTTGCCGGTAGACTGTCAGAGCCGTAGACCGCAGGGATCAGGTGGCCCGCACCTGGCGAAAGGCCATGTGATTTTGAGTCCCAGCGGCCCGCATGTACGGCTTCATATGTCCGACTGTACCTGTTCCGACGATGGGTGACAAAAAGCTGTCCTACCGCGCGGGTCCCAGCATCACTGCCTGCACTGCCTCAATCCCTTCTGGTCACATTGCAGAGTCTGCCGTTGGCCACGTACTCTGCCTCATCCTTCCTGAGTTCTTCGGCAGGGGCCCCGTTCCGGAGTGAGCGCGATTGGTCACAAGCGTATAATAACCTCACCTGCTCCGCGGCAAGGTCGGCTACGACATGGCTCCTGATGGCTGCGCTCCACCTCCGAGGTGCCCGTCCAGCCTGTTTGCAGTGGGCGTAGCACAGCCCATTCGCATCACGACCTGCCTCGGTGTGTACCTCAGCACCTGAACTGCCTCACCGTGAACTCCGGTCAGTGGCCTACGCGATTCCCCGCCAATAGGTCTGCATCCGCCCGACATCGATCACGACCACCTGTTTGTTCACACAGCCGTCTGGGTCCCAAGTGCTCACTTGGACGGAGGAGGCGAAGCGTGGTGTGATCGCAGCCACGGCACTCCTCTTGCTATGTTTCATCCAGGGCTACTCCGAAGAAGAGGGCCTTGCGGCGAGCCATCAGCCTGGCGTCGAGGAACGCCGATCTCAACACGTGGTATCGGGGCCGCAGAGTACACCTTCGTTCTCTTGCCATAGGCACTGCTCCGACCTCTAAGCCCATCAAGCAGCAGGTCTTTCAGCCACTTCACACCAGACATGGCAGACGCCACTGAGTAGTCTGCTGGAACTCTGGGGGACTCAACACTATCACATATCAGGAGGTGCTTCACTGGCTCCGACAAGAAGATCAGGCCGACAGACTGGTAGATGTTATGTGCATAGTGGAAACAGCTTGGAGGGAGGACTCAGATTTCACTACCAAAAAGGACCCAGGCTCTCCTAATGCGACGCAGTGGCACGCCATCCACACCGGTACCAAGGAGAAAGCGGGGGTCTTATGCCCCGCACTTCGTTAGTCGCTGAGCTCAGATACAATGTTCTCCAGGCTGGCAGACTCTTACACGTCCGCCTGCTGCTGCAGGTCCCTCTTGACATTCTTCGCATCTATCAGATCGCCTGGAATCCGAGTAAAGCCTCCCTTGATCAGTCCAGTCCCACAAGACCGACCAGCTTGCGCAGCAGCGGGAGAAGCTCTGGTGCAAGATGTCACCGTGCGTGTCCCATGGGTTCATCATGCTGGGGGACTTCAACACACCCCTCCGACAGGAACTACCCTACGCAACGAGCACCTCCCCACAAGGCCTGCGAGACCTTCCAGGCCTTGCTGCGACAGGCTGGTGGCAGGGCCCTCAACACTTGGTCACTTGGTCAACGTCTGGTAGTGCAGAGCGCGCCTATCTACCGCCCGCTGCTGGCAGAGACACTCTGGGCACACAAATCGACTACGTAATTGTGCGCGACAGCATGTGCGACCAGGAGGCCAGACGCACTCGACCCGTTGATGCTGCCAGGTTTGGCCCGTGGGGGCGCGGGCATTGGTACTGTGCCAGCAACCAGCAGGTGCCTGCAGCCATTGTGCGGAATGAAGGGTGAGTTCAACGCATCTTGGACAACCCGGACGAGGTGGCTCACGGCAGATGCGACCAAGATCAACACGATGAAGTGGGATTCGGAAGCCAAGAAGCATGTGGTCAACAACATGGGGCGCCAGCTGCATGGTGATGGAGCTGGTGGTTCTTCGCAAGGACCAGCGAGATGGAGTCGGCTACGCTGCCGATGCACCTGGACATCTGCATGCGATCCCCGGCAGCGGGGCCTCTTCCGAGACCTGTGCGGGTCGGCAATTTGGCTGGCAGCTGGCGTGAATGTTCGCCCGGAGCGACTTCAGCGCGGACCCCTGCCACAGAAGCTGGCCTCGAGGCAAGCCAAGTCCAGAGGGTGGAACAGATCATGAGCCTTCGGCTTGGCAATGAGCAAACTACTGCTACGGCAATGCCATGCTGAGAGGGCTGTTGATGTTATCTTCGAGGTCTGGGGGGACTCCCACTAGTACTACTTCTACTGCGGCTGCAGCTACTACTACTGCTACGACCAATTTGATGAGCCCATCCAAGGCCAGAGACACGGCAATATGAACCTCACCGAGAACCAGGGAACTACCGGCCAGCATAGCATTCCTCATCACGTCGAGTGGGCTCATAGGAGCTCTCACTTGGGCAGGGATCTTACTTAATCGACTCGTCACGCTTGCCACGATGACACCACAGTTGAGGGGGGCCTAGACGGTGTGATGCGATGAGGATCCCATCTTCACTGGATGCGATGGCCGTGAAGCCCGGTCGAATCCTGTTACAGGCAGGGGGACCAGAATGATGCCGGGGTCAGAGGTGGAGCAGCCTGAGTCCGAGGAGCTTTGCGTGGGTCGCCCCAGCTCCGGTGCCCTGCAGGGCGCGGACAAGGGGATCGCTGTAGCAATGGCTTGTGACCCAGCAAGCGTGTGAAGAATCTGTGCCGTAGGGTCACGTCGCCATGACTCTCAGCCACCTGCAGCTTTGGCTGGGCGGCAAACCTTATAAAGACCTAAGAGCCATTGCCCTGTGTGTCGTACCCATCACTTCCGGTGTGAACCTTATAGGCTCCCTCCCTGACTCAGAGAGGTGGAGTCGTCAGCACCGACCCCGGCGCCCCCACCACCCACCCATCCACCCCTCCCACCCAGCCACAGCACCCATCCACCCATCCGCCCATCCACCCATCCACCCATCCACCCATCCACCCATCCACCCACCCATCCACCCATCCACCCATCCACCCATCCACCCATCCACCCATCCACCCATCCACCCATCCACCCATCCACCCATCCACCCATCCACCCCACACATGCCCATACTCCCACACACGTCCACACGCCCACAAACGCCCACACCCCGCGACACACGCCCAAGACACAAGCACATTTGCACGCACACGTACACGTACATGTACACGTACGCGATCGTACACGTGCACGTACGTGCACACGTGCATGCGCATGTACACGCGCAGGGAAATGCGGATAAGAATTGGCCTGCCAACAAATGTGGTGTGCAATGCATCCCATCCGTTCCTTCACGTGTCGAGGTGTTTGCACTTGAGAGCCCCGAGTTCGCAAAAGGCGACGGCGAAGAGAGGCATCTACGCTTTCGCTATTGCATGAAGACAGTGGAAATAGGCCGCATGATGCTCCAGTCCTGGGATGGTGCGAGTTGGACCACAGAGTGGTCTCCGCGTGGTTACCAGATCGGTGTTTGGAACCGAGCTGATGTACGGTTGCCGGATGATGCGCAAGCATTGCGCTTCCTCGGGATCACGAGTGGGCCGGACAGCAACATGGGTCTAGCAGGTCTAGCTTTAGACTTATTGCAGACTTTCAATCTTTCAACAGCAACTCCATTGCCGAACTACGATATCGTGGCGTGCAGCTTTGAGACCGACTCCTGCAGTTGGAGAGCCGTGAGTGACCAGGCGCGCTTTGTTGTGTGTGTGCTCTCATTTCAAGAACATCTCTCTGCCTTGCCGCCTAGCTTGGACGTAGGGACGGCTACTGACGGCTACAGCCCAAAACGAAACTGAACAGGATGACGGGCTTTTGTGGTAGTTTTCATATTAACTCGGCAGCGGGTGCGTGCAAACTCAAAATCCCAAGCGGGGCAGTGGAGGACTCCTCCGCCTCGCGTGGAATCTAGGCCTCCGCTTCAGTCTGAAGAAGATAGCATGGACAACAGATCCTAAACAAGTTCAGCCCAGGGGCTTGGCCTACAGGCATTTACATCTAGCGGGCACGGCAGTGGCATCCTTCTAAAATGCAGCCCGCTTCTGGAAGCAGTGCAGTGTGTCGTGTGCATGACTTTGCCGTGGAGGCTTGGAGGCTGGGAACTGGCTGGACGCCGTCATCTGATACAGGACCCTCGGCTGCCTTCGATGGCAACCGCTACATGTACCTGGAGGCGAGTTCGCCGAATTATCCCAACAAGGCGGGAGCGAGTCTTCACAGTCTTGTTCTTGTGGTCTTGCGGTGGGGCTTACATAAAGCCAGTGTGCCGGGTAGACGCGTGCAGGCAGTATGCCCTGGAGAGATATAGCTATCGAGAAGCGCTGTTCGATGTTTCGGGTGCTTAGGCCCAGGCCGCAGATGCACCTCTCAGGCCATCATCGGATTAGGTCGGAATGTTTCTAAAGACATTCGCCCGCGCTGCAGATCTTCAATTGAGAATTGTGAGAGCAGTGAGAGCAGAGTCCACCTCCTCTATCGCTCCGCTGGTCCTTTCATACTCTTTGTGCAGAGTGTCGTCGCTGCGGCCCCGGCCACATCGACAGTTGATGAGTTTCCTGTTCCACTGCGTCTGATTCATCGGGAGCCCTGCTGCCCAGGCTTGTTCCACTGGGTAGGACCGCCACCCTCGGCGGGCGTGGTTCAGTTTTGAAGTTGATCCCCCAGACGATACAAGGGCCCCAGATCGTTCGGATTCACGATCGTTCAGTGCCCCTGAACTTGTCGAACATGCCGAGCATCATCTATTTTGATCATGCTCATGTGCACAAAGTTCTCGGAAAGCTTCTTTGCACCATGGTGGATATGAGTCTTGTTGAGAGTCCGCCTGTGTCATCAGTGGATGGACGACATCCCCGCCGAACTCCCGCTTTGACTCAACTGTTGGCGTGGTGATTTGTTTGCTGGTGTTCTGTGAGTGCACATGGGGCAACCGGCCTACGAAGCCTCTGACAACAAACCGGAACCAACCACACGACATGTTGTGCAAGCCATGACCGTGACTAGTTGAGAAGCCCGGTTACTTGTAGCTAACTAGCCATACTGGCTGCACGAAGCCTGATATTCAGCTGTTTAAATACAAATGTAGAACGAATTCCGCGCATCGAGTCGTCCCACCTTTCGTCCGTGGTTCACCGAGAGGGCATGTCGGAACTGTGCGAAGCCTGCCTTGCCAAGTCGAACAGGTGTTTGTGCTGGAAAGCCCCGTGTTCAGAAAGTTCGACGGTGAAGAGCGGCACATGCATGTCCACTACCACATGCACGGAGAGTCCATGGGCCAGCTGACACTGCAATTCTGGCACGGCATGCAGTGGACCACTGTATGGTCGCTCTCCGGATCCCAGGGTGACGAGTGGCATCATGCTCTCGTGACACTACCAGAAGATGCACAAGCACTCCGCTTCCTCGGCATGACCGGGACAGGCTGGGCCAGCGACATCGGCTTAGATAAGCTGCAAGCAGCCGGCGCGTCTTCTATGGTTGAATGCAGCTCTCCTCGTACTGCATGTGACTGGACATCGGGAACCGTTGACCAGGCTCGGGCTGCATCTACTCACAGATGCCTTTGGATGTTTTCAGGAAATTTTGCTTCAGCTGCTAACGGGTTGGCGGAAGCAAGGCAGTTTCCCAAGCTGAGCAAGCTTGTGAATCCGTAGCAGTGTCGGCGACTTGACTGGCTTTGAGAGCACTGCTTCGGGCTTTCTGAAAGGTCCTAAACCCTTCTTTCTACATTGATATCCCCGACAGTGTTGGTGCAGCAGTAATCAGAAACATCTGCAGTATCTTCAGCGACTCTTGAGACGTTTGTACCGTAACTCGGGTTTGCTCGCTTGCGGGCAGCATGCCGATCTACCTCAGTGCCTCTGCGCGTCCCTGCAGGAGTTCGTGTTGCAGAGTCCCGTGTTTACAGAGGGCACTGGCTTATACTTCGAATACCGCATGTACAGCTTGAATGGTGACTCCATTAGCATGCAGCTACAAGCTTGGAATGGTCAGGACTGGACTACTGTGTGGTCACTCTCTGGCAATCAGGGTCCTTCTTGGCATCGTGGAGCGGCACATTTCCCGGACACTAGCAGGGGCTTGCGTTTTCGAGGATCCCTTACAGAATGGCAAACCGGTGACTTGGCAGTGCACGCAATAAGAACAGCCGTCGCGGTGGAAGACTTGGCTTGCGATGATTTTCAGGTCAACTGCCTTTGGTTGGAGCATGGCACTGTTGGTCCCAACAGGGCGGCGTGGAGAGTGGCGGACGTCGGTTTGGAAGCCAGCGGGGAGAAGAGCGAAACAGCTGTACTTGACAGTGCCCACATCCGGAGCGTTGGTTTCGAGGCCGCTTTTGTTCTCAGCTTCCAAGTCGTTGGGCCCACAGCAGGCCTGGAGATGCAGCAACTCACTGAGACCGGTTGGATGCATCTCCAAACCACAGCTATCTCTTCTAGTTACTCTGGTTGGCAACTGGTCACGGGCCCGATCTCGGTGCAGACGCGGGCGCTACGCCTGCTAGCGACAATGAACAGCACGACAGATCTTGTGAGGGTCCGCTCATTCCATTCAGAGACGGGCGCTTCCCGAAGCGTTCAAAGCCTCGAGGATGCGCACTGCGACTTCGAGGATGGCTTCTGCAAATGGACGGGGGACTGGCTGCGAACCGATGGCAGCAGTGCGGCGTTTCGTGGCCAGGCATTCGCCTCTGCCTCGCAGACAAGAGCGCTGGATTCAGCTACAGAGGCACTGCAAATTCACATCGTAGGACATGCTTCACTTTCGAGACTCTCACTTGTGTTTCTGTGCAGGTGCTCTTGAAGAGTCCGTTTTTCCCCGGTGCTGATGCGGTCGACCTGGCCTTTGCCTTCCGCATGCGTGGGTGGGCATCCTTCAAGCTGTCACTAGACATGTGGAGCTCGGATGGCTCTTGGCAGGAGCGCTGGTTTGAGGAAGGCCAGCAAGGGGAGGGTTGGCAGCAAGTCAAGCTGCGCCTGCCAGCAACAGTTAATCGTGTTCGCTTCAGGGGCTATATGCCCCCATACAGTTCCTCCTTTATCGCAGTTGACGACGTCCTGCTGCTGTCTTCGCATGAGCATGCTAAGCCGACTACCATGGTCCTAGCTGGTGGGCACCATCACCAGTGCGGCCTGGCTTTTGGACAGCTCAAGTGTTTTGGAAAGAACAGCGCAGGGCAGTTGGGCTACGGCACTTCCGACGACATAGGCGATGACGAGGACGAGGTCGGTCTGCAATTGCCCGTGGTGGACGTTGGAGGTACAGTCTTGCAGGCCTGCGGTGGAGCTAATCACACTTGCGCTGTTCTTCAGCGTGGCTCCCTGAAGTGTTGGGGGTCGAACATTTATGGGCAGATAGGTTCTGCAAACGCGACTGGCCTCGGTGATGATCTCAACGAAATGGGGGACTCGCTGCCTGCTGTCGATCTGGGCAATGGCACAAAGGCGAGCCAGGTTGCCTGTGGCTCTGCCCACACTTGCGTTCTACTTCATGACGGGGCCATCAAGTGTTTCGGGTACAATGGGGATGGGCAGCTGGGCTTGGGCGACAGCATGCCAGGACCTCAGCTCAGCAGGCAATGGTGGCTTGGTGTGTATTTTTCTTTCTTTGCCTGTGGCTCCCGTAAGGAACCGCGGAGAGCAGAGCTGGCAGATGGGAGATGCGCTGCCCACTCTGGATCTGGGCAGTTTCAGAGCAACCCAGGTCACTGCAGGTTTCCGGACTTCATGTGCCCTTTCCTCGGATCGCGTGCTTTGCTGGGGACGTCAGTTCCCCAGTTGGGAAATCGTGGACAACGTTTCGTCGCTTGCGACCATCGGCTTCGACCAGCAGGCGACGCAGATCGGAGCAGGCGAACACCACGCCTGCGTTCGTCTAGCAGATGGACGCATGCGATGCTGGGGTCAGAATGAAGACGGCCAGCTTGGTCTCGGTGACACCGTTAGTCGAGAGGCCCACGAGGCAGCTGATGTCGACCTCGGCTCCCCAACCACACAGATCTTCGTGGGCTCGCATCACTCCTGCGCAGTCTTGCAGGATGAGAGAACCCTGTGTTGGGGTCGCAATAGCGACCGGGAGCTTGGGCGAGGCACCGCAATCCCTATCTACACAAGCCCAGGAGAAGTGCTCGTGGAAAAGGTCCAAAGCCTGTCGATGGGCGAGGGGCACATCTGCTTTTTGCAGAGCGGAGGCTCCATGTCGTGCTTCGGTGCGAATGACCACGGCCAGTTGGGGGTGCCACTTGGCGAGGAGTCGGCAGAAGATGGAGCAGCTCTGGTGCCCCGGCTTTTCAGCGCTCGGACGCCAAGAGCCGAAGGCTTGGAGTCCGTTCGCTTGTCGGGAGGCTCCAGCACCTGGGGCTTCCTCGAAGTGCTGCGCGAGGGCATTTGGTCACCGGTGTGCGATGATGGCTTCGACACGGCCGCAGCGACTGTGGCTTGCAAGGACCCCGCACCATGGGGGGAAACTAAAGCTTGAGTCTGAACACCTGGCAGTTTGGAGAACTTGAGCCCATCACTCAAGTCACGAAAGCCAGCTCTCTAAGAGCTTGTGAGAGACCTGTTTTACTGACTGCTGCATGCCGTTTGCGGTCTTTGTCAGGTCCAAAATCGTTGTTAAGGATCAATCCACAGAGTTCGGGACATCTTCCTTCAGCCAAGTTGTGGCCAGGACTTGGGCATGGCTGCTGGGATGCCTTTGGATTCCTTTTATGTGCTCAACAACACTGCCTTCGCAATTGATGACATCAGTTGCAACGGCGAAGAACTGAGTCTTGGTGATTGCTCCTTCGGGGGATGGCAGATTCATGACTGTGGGCCACAGGAAGCCGCAGGCGCGAGTCTCTGCCTTGTAGGGTGTTCCCTGTCCGCCACCTTTTCTGGTGAAGTGCGTGCCAAACGCATGCACCGCGCACCCAGATCGCCACACCGTGGTTCACATGCCAGAATTGTAGAGGTGACGCACTTCAGGGTTACAAACTCTGATTGTGTAGAGCGCAGTTTGGAACTTAATGTTGAAAGCTTGGCTCTAGGCTTGCACGCGAGAGCTCCAAAGGCGCGGAATCCCGATGGAAGAGTTTTGATAGAGGCCTCGATACTGTCCGAATGTTGAGAACTGATCATGCGCCACGAGAACCGGGGCCTCATTCGACATTCGGGGTTGCTCAAGCGGTAACCCTCCCGGCAGGAGTGCAGTGCAGCTGGGATGACTGGGTCGACTACACCGTCGCAGGGCCGAGGGCCCGGCATGGGCATAGCATGGTCTGGGATGCGGAGCAGCAAACCGCTCTCATCTTTGGCGGTGAGGCTGGCCGAAGCTTCGATTACTTTCAGGACCTCTGGCAATATCACTGGCCTTCCCGAGCCTGGACATTGCTGCCAGCCAATGGTCCATCACCATCAACCAGGCACTGACGCAAGAGTTCTCGAACATCCCCACGGGTCCGGCCACTGCCAAGAGCAATAGAGGGAACATGGCGGAACACCTGCTTGCTATGTTGAATGTAATGTCCGTGTAGGGGCTGTCCACAGTGTATGATGTGTAAGTCATGATCAATGCAGAGTTTCGCCATATGAATGAGCAAGAAGGAGCACTTCAAAAAGCAGCCATGAGCGGCGGAAGGGTTTCCTCAAGGTATATTGGCAACGGAGCGCAGGGTTTGGCATTAGCAATTCTGACCACGAACATGACCGCCAGGCAAGGCCACTCCGCGGTGTGGGACGGCGCAAGTCGATCGATGCTGCTTTTCGCAGGAGTCCACCTGGGTAGACACTTTGATGAACTTTGGCAGTACCAGGCAGAGCTGGGCACCGTGGGCACATGGCGGCAGCTTCTGTTCGAGATGACACCAGCAGCACGCGCCCACCACTCGGCCGTTTGGGACGACGATTCTGGTGCAATGTTGGTGTTTGGAGGCGAGAGTGGCGCAGCTTTGGGTGATCTCGTCAGGTGCAGCTTGAGCCACGAGGCAGGAACCAACATACACCCTAGGCCCTAAGTCAACCACACAGTGAGTTGCATGTGAATCTCAGACCCCGGCAGGTCTGGAGCGTCGCTGCTGCAGGCCCAGCCCCAAGGAGCTGGCACTCTGCGGTCTGGGATCGGGTGACGCGACATGCTGTGCTTCCGATTTTGCCTCTGCTTTGCATGCTCCTGCTTTGCCTACTTCTGCTTTCTTCTTGAGCTTAGGCCTGCGGCAAGGTGTCCTTTGTCCTTCTTTGTTTTTGTGACCGAGTCAGGTGACAAGGTCCATGCTCGTCTTCGCCGGCTGGAGTGGCAGTGCGTATTTACAGGACCTTCACGTGTATGACTCGTGTGCGGACATGTGGTGGGAGCTCCTGCCAGCAGGGAGCCCGTCTCCGAGGGCTCGACATGTGGCAGCCTGGCAGCCTGGTGCCATGTCCATGCTCGTATTTGCTGGAGTTCAAAACGTCAGTGGCAACTTGAGCTACGATGGCAAGCTGTACCGGCTACTCGGATGCATCTTCGTATACAGCGCACAATGCAATGTCTCACCAAGCCCCAGCCTCTCCCTCTCGCCAATCGCGTGGCCAGGTTTGACTTGCTGGCGAACGCTTGGGCAGAGCTTGCAACCACGATCGGCCCCTCCCCGCGAGCAGACCCGCGAGGCGTATGGGACGAAGCTTCCAGAGCGCTGATGACATTTGGAGGCTTCAGCGCTGCCTATTTCGACGACCTCTGGCGGTTCCCCTCGACACAGCGAGCACAAATAGTAGCGAAGTGGCCTGCAGGCCAAGACTGCATTTTTGTGATGGATGAGCCGCTTCCTGGTGTGCAGATTTCTTTGAAGCGATCATGCTTGGATTCTGAGTCGCTGGCTTCGGCAGTGACCTCCGATGGCCAGACCTTCACACTCACAGATGACCACACCGGCTCGCGCCGACTCCATGTGGAACCTGGATGGTACAGGTTGTGCTCCTGTTTTCGGAATGTTTCGCGATGTGACCAGCCCAGTGACTTCACCTCAGTCCTTGGCTTCTTCATCAGTGAGGGTCCCTATGCCAACCAAACTCTGCATTGCTTTATGGGTCAGCCTTGTGCCTTTGCATCCTGGCGCGGCGTGGGCTTGTCCGCCAATGACAGTGTGATCGCGATGAGCCAGTGCGGATCCTCCAATGCCTCCGTGACTTTTGGGCAGCAGAGTGCAGTTCTGCGAATCGATCGTTCCATCGATGGCTTCACGGTGGAGCTTGAGCAGCCGGCGCTGAATGGCGTACCACGGACTTTGCAGTTGTGCTGGTGCCCGCAAGGTCGTCCATGTGCATCGTCGCAGGATTACCAATCTGTCGCGTTTCAATTGCAAGTCCACTGTGCTCCAGGGCAGCATGAGTTTGAAGGCTTGTGCATGAACTGCCCCGAAGACTCATTCTGCCCTGATGGCCAGCGTGTTGAAAGTTGCCCAGCCGGGAGCACTGCAATGGCCGGATCCAGTCCACTCCTCAGAACATCCCAAGTTGTAGCCACGGCAAGAGTATGGGTAGCTGCGACTCCGGCCTTTTAGTGCAACCACCAAGGTGATTTTTGGAATTGCTCTTGTGAGGCTGGATACTACATGCAGGAAACCACTTGCCGGGCGTGTCCATATGGTTCCACGACATCGCAGGCTGGAGCCGTCGCATCGGGTTATTGCGCATGCGCACCGGGCTTTATAAATACTTCGAGCAGCCCCTCACAATGTGGGCCCTGTGGCTTTGGCTCTTTCTGCATGGGAGGTACACACCGGGAGAAGTGCGGAGAGTCTCGAAGCACGCTCGTGGATGTTGCAAGCGATCGCTCTCAATGCTTGTGTGCTGCGGGAACGTTCCTTTTGGATGAGCTGTGCACCCCTTGCGCAGCAGGTAAGTACAAGAGTGGAATTGGCAATCTGCAATGTAGCAAATGCACGGCTGGGACGTGGAGTGCTGCCATTGGTGCTACCTCGGATGAAGCCTGTCAAGCCTGCCCGTCCGGGTCCACTACAGAGAATCCCGGCTCCTGGATGGAAGACTTGTGCATTCGTCCGCATCGCGACCAGCAGTTTCGTTGCACTTCTGGTAAAGCTTGTTCCGTTCCGCTAGGCGGGTTTCATCTGCGAGACGGTCACCGGCTAGCACTCACCATGTCGGAAGACTGTGGCGGAGCAAAATTGCCCGTGGCCGGCATAGCCAGCGATGGCACCTCGAAGCCGGCCAGTGGTGAAGAAAATCTCTACACATGGGGCGACGTCCCTGCGGATTTCTTGCCAGAAGGTGGCACCTACCGGCTCTGCTGGTGTGCGAACATGGCTGGCCTCGTTTGTGCCAGCTTGGAGAGTTTTCAGCTTTTCGCAGGTCTGCTCGAGGTTGCGGGGCCTCTCAGCGACCAGCTTTTTCAATGCGTTCGTGGACAGGACTGCGTTGGTCTGGAGCCCTTCCGCGGAGTCGGTTTGTCCACGTTGGATCGCCTGTCTCTTAGGACCGGTGGATGTGGTGGTCTTGCCGTGATGCAGATCTCCCTGGCTAATGCAGAGGGAATTGCGAGCCTTGAGCCTGCCGTCTTCGGAGAGTCCGATTTCTCCCTGCACTTCGACTTCGGCACCTCAGATGCCGAGCTTGGTCTGGACCACAGTTTGCTCGTCGATGCAAGCGAGGCTGGATACGACCTCTGCTGGTGCGGTGCCTCCGAGAACGACATTCCGTCGGGAACATGCAGCCAACCTCCAGCCTTTCTGGTGCCAGCCGGCAAGCTGCAGATCGAAGGGCCTGGTGCCAACCAAGAGATCATTTGTTCCGTTGGGCAGCCTTGCACTCTGAGTATCCGGTCTGTCCATGCAGCTCAGGGAGACCGCATCATGGTCCTTTCTGCTTGTGGTGTGGATTCTGCAGTGCAAGGCTTTCCTGGCCGTGGAATCGCTGTGTACGCCGAGGCTAGGCTTTCTCACATTGAAGCTGCGCAGATCACAGCCACGCCCCAAGACACCCCCATGTGTAGCTCTCATCGTCCACTCAAGGCGCGCTCACTCATTGCTCGCATGCCGCATGCCTCCCTCTCTGTGTCTTCTCTCGCTTCTTTGTCCTTCCCCAGCATCACATCACAACAGCCTTGCGTAAGACTTGACGCATTCATGACATGTGTCAGGACCGTGCCATGTTCCAATTCCAGGGCGAGTCGAACCTGCTACTATCACCTGCGGGGATTTACAGACTCTGCTTTTGCAGGCCAACTGCAGAGGAAGAATGTGAGACTGCCACCGCTTTCCGAGCACCTGTCGGGCTCATGACAGCATCCGGCCCCTTCCGGCAGACTTCCACGTGCAGTGTTGGGAGCAATTGCACATTGGAGCTGTCAGGAATCTATCTGCAGGAAGGTGATGCAATGATCGTGACTGAGGGTACTTGTGACAACTCTGCCGGAAACATAAGAGATTTCATGTCCCTGAAGCAGCCCTTTTACTTCCAAAGAAACGGAAAGGCACTGCAGGTGTCCATGGGCAAGCTGCCCAAATCGACAGTCGCTGGAAATTACATGCTTTGCTGGTGCCCAAGACTTCATGCTTGCACATCGACTTCGTCCTTCCGGGCAGCAGCTGGCCAGCTGCAAATTGACTGTCCCCAGGGACATTTCTTTACAGCTTCACGATGTGCTGCATGTGGCCGCGGCTTCTATTGTCCCGGAGGCCGCCGAGGGTCCGCAACAAGATTTCCTTGCCCCGAGCATGAAACCACGCGGCAGCGAAATGCTTCTGCAGCGTCTGACTGCGAGTGCATGGCTGGCTACTTTCTCGATTCTGGAAGCTGCAATGCCTGTGACAGGGGATTCTACAAAGCTGATGTTGGCAATGCTTTTCGGTGCAATGCCTGTCCGCAGAACTTGACAACTCTTCTCAGTGGTTCTGTGTCCAATTCCTCGTGCACTCCCACCGCTGGGCCCCCCTCTGCAGAGGAGGGAGGCTCTAGCATGGTGGACTTGAACAAAGCAGTCGGCTTCAGCAACGTTTCAGATGTAGCAACCATGACTTTCAATATATCTGTCGGCAGAGACTGGATTGATCCAGCGATCAGGCGTGAGCTGATCGCCACCCTGCGCCGAAGCATTACAGACTCTACAAGGATGGATCCTGGCGCCGTGGAGATTGTGCTACCTTGGGCAGATGCAGCCGGCCGCAGGCTGTCAGCTTTACCATCGGTTGGGATCGTGCTTAAGTTTCCCTCGGCGGCCGAGGCCAACCTCTCTGCGCAGGAGACGGATGTGAGCGTGCTTGTGAGCGACATGAGCGATGCTGTCCGGCTAAATGACGATTTGTCCGACTTCATCATCGAGGCAACATCAACACCCGAGGTGTCCTCTGTGACGATCACCTGCCCAGAGTTCTCAGCCAAGCCTCCGGGTGTGCCGATCGTGAGTGCAAGCGATTGCCTCTGCTTGCGGGGCTACGGCTTCGATGCTCAATTTGGGACATGTGGACGCTGTCCCCAGGGTGAGTATAAATCTTCACTGGCAGATACAGAATGCGACAAATGTGAAACTCCGAAATCGACGGTTCAGCGTGGTGCCATTTCGGTCCATGAGTGCGTCTGCGCGGCTGGCTTGTACGACCATGAGGGGGATTGCCGCATTTGCGAGATCGGATATTACTGCAACGGCTCGGGCGTCGCACTTCCTTGTCCAGCAAACTCAACGACGATTTCTGAAGGATCGCGGTCTTTGTCAGAGTGTCTCTGTGAGGCCGGATATGAGGCTGACCGCGATGCAGAACGGTGTGAGCCATGCCCGTCGGGAAGGTACAAACCCAGCTTAGGCAACGAGGTCTGCTCCCTGACGTGCCCTGCAAATGCAGACAGCAGTCGGGGCTCCACTGAAGTGGATGCCTGCTACTGTTTGCCCGGGCATGTGGCAGAGACTGACAACAAGGGCCAGTTACAGCGCTGTGCTTCCTGTGCTCTTTACAGTGGCTTGGTGTGCCCTGGTGACTTCGATGAGGGCACAAGGAACCACACCCAGCCAAGATCCATTGCGGGCTGGTTCCAAACTGGCAGCACACTGGCGGTCCAATGCCACGTTGTCCTTCCGAACGGAGACAGTGCCTGTAGTGGCCTTTCTCCGGAGTGCAAGCGTGATCCAACTCTTGCAGCTTGTGGCAAAGCTGTCGGAAACCAATGCGCCGAGGGCTCTTCTGGCATGATGTGTGGGGAGTGCCCGGACGGCTGGGGCAGAGGCAGCCCTTTGGAATACTGCCAGCCCTGCCCTCAAGACGAGGGTGCCTGGTTGCTCGCTGCCGCCGTCCTAGCAGACCTCACGCGAATTACCGTTTTGAACTTCGTTCTTACTGTTCTGGCGGCGAAAGGTTCGGGGAGCTCGCTCAAGCTCCATACATGCATGATACGCATGATGCAGGCCTGGATTGGAGCATGTCAGATCTTGCTTACCTTTGATCTGGATCGGTTGCAGCCTTTCTCATGGTCTCAGGAAGAAGCACATGTGAGCTGCGATGGGGAGTGCACCGAGATTTTACGATTTGCGTGGCCTCAAGCAGTGTCCGATGCCATGCACGGAGTTTTTTCTATGATAGCAGTGATTCCACGGGCGAGCGTCCACTTCGCGGCCGAGTGCCAATCTGAGACCTGGTCGAGCGACAAGGGCATGAAGTGGAGTGCGCCGGTACTGTACTACCTTTGCTTGCCGGTGCTGAGTCTTCTCGGCACACTTTTCCTGTCGGCACTTGTGGTCTACGCCGTGCTGCCGCTGGGAAGGATGTTCGGGATCCATTTCAATGATGCCCGGCCGCACGGGTCGTCTCAATCCCTAAGCCCAAATCGCAGCTTGCACATGACGGATGTCACCGCGAGCCGAGGAAGCCGACCGCAGGAAGGCCAAGAAGCAGGCAGCCCTAAAAGCAGTGCGAGGCCAGTTGAACCTCATGAAGCAGGCAGGACCGAAGCGCTTGCAACCCCGCATTGTTGAGCCTTGCCGAGAACCCTGAGGGCGAGGGTACCGAGTCGGCCCGGGGCCGGGGCCGTATCCTGCAAGAGCTCCCGCAGGGATTGTGGGACGAGGCGCGTGCTGTAACCTGCTCAGCTTATCGGATAGTGACTGATTTCAGCAAGGTGCACTTGGAGAAGGTCCCAGATGTCGTTCTCGCTGGAGGCATACAAGATGATCAGCTTTTTGCGACTGCCGACTGCTTAGCATCCTCGCCTCGTGGTGCTGCAGGGGTGGTTCACATCCGAGACGCGGGCCCGCAAGCACTTGAGGCATCCGATGGCTTGATCTCCGAGAAAGCCCTGCGCCGACTGGTGCCTGCCTCAAGGTTTCATTGTGTGTCTGCATGTCAGTTTGCTTCTCTCAACTTTGTCTCTGTGTGTCTGCGTGCGTGTGTGTTGAGTTTTAGCCGGCTTGTGTGAACCGCCCTTGCTCACAGGCGATCATTTTGAGTCTAATGTTACAGCCACCCGTTTGGTTGCCCGGCTAACCGGAGGCCGACACAGCTGATGCTGGGTCTGATCGGCATACCTTCACATTCTCAGCGTCAACATCAAGCATTGCTTCCACAAGCAACCGAACTGAATCAGAGCACCTAGTCAAATCACGCGTGCATTGACCTGTTTACTACACGGCCATCAAAGGAGGACAATCCGCCAGCGCCAACAAAAGAGCATCCGATGGCCCGTGCTTTAAATTCAGCTTGGGATCTCATCTTAGCCCTTGCAAGAAGGGAAGGCTTCCCTACTGCCTCGGCCACAACATCCGACACGACCGCCTTGTGTCCTCAACAGTCGGGGATCGGGTCGGCAGACTTGGCTTTGGCGGATACAGGGTTTTGCAGCGTGGCAGCAAAGGGCTTTGGATTGAAGGCTGCTCAATACACTTGATACTCAGATGAATTGATTTCTGTCTGAGTCTGAACATGCTCGAAGCAGCAAACTTCGTCCATGTGCCGAATCTTGGCGAAAGGATGGGAGAGGCGAGATAGTTACACAGAGCTTGAAGCCGAAAAGCTCAACGAGCATGTGGGCCTGCAATTTCAGCTGCTCCCGCTATGCTGCGACGCCATGCGAACGTTTAGACGGCATGCCGCATCGTAGGCATTCTCTGTGTCTTCCAGGTCCTTGGTGTCCTGGCGTGGAAGATGCGAGGACGGACCCGTGATCAGCTCCCGTAGAAACTTGACTGCCCGTGTTGTACCGTGTCTGTGAAGCGTGGCCAAGCTTGTAACCCTGGCTGCAGAGTTCGGTAGCAAGCTGTTATGTCTACAGCTTGACATCGGACCTGCCTAAGTCTTTAGCTCCCTGATTCCCGGCCCAAGCGGTTGCGGCAGAGGAGAACTTGAGGCAGAAGCTGAGCGGGAAGGCCTCTCAAAGGCTCGCAGTGTTTGTCGCGATTTTGAAGAAACATTAGACGCATCAGAGATCCGTTGCCATGCTCGCTACCAAAGTTCCACAGGCCATAGGCAGTGTCTAGCCCCTGCATGCGTAGCAGTGTAGCAGGAAGAGATGTGAAACCTCGGTCAACGACACACTCACACATGCAAGGCCACACTGTGCGAAAACGCCAGGAAGGCACACCACGCGAGGCTGTGCGCTATAAGTCGAGGCAAGGTTCATGACAAAGTAGCCGGAGCCACCAGCAGCCTCAAAACTGTTGCAAAACTACGCTTCACATGACAAGAACACTAGATGTGAAAGAATCAAATATCTTGTGCTGCCACAGCCTAGACCTACAGAGAGCTGGGGCAGCTCATCGTTTCAGGAGTTGAGGCATTCCTGACAGATGCCCAATTTTTTCCACCACAACCAGTTAAAGCTCCTGCAGAAGCCTCGGCTGCAGGCGGACTTCGTCGTGGAGGTGGCCGGCGTCGCAGAGTCCGTCGACGAGCTCGTCAATTTGCGAGGTGAAAGTGGGCGGTCCCTGCTCAGACGCGCTTGCCGTCATCTGCGGCTAAGGGAGTCGGAGCTCGTGGCAGAGGTCCAAGGCAGAGCGGCAAGGCTGGACCTCGCACTCTTCTCATCCTGGCCTAGACCTATGGCGCTGCTGAAGCAAAGTGTTCCGGTGATATGGCTCACACAGCTTGCCTTGTGGCCAGAGCTGATGTCCCAGTTCTTGCAGATGGTTCGATGCATCTCGGTTCGCGAAGATCGGCAGGGGCCGGTGATGGTGCAGCGGCTGCATGCGCATCCCGACGTGGTGTGCTGGCAAGAGGAGCACTGGACACTCTTCGCCATTGGCGTCAGTGGCCTGGTGCTATGGTGCTTCGGGATCCCGCTTGCCTTGTTCCTTCGAATTTGGGCGCTGACCGATCGCCAGGAGCCAGAGAACCGCCGCCTTTTCGGCTATTTCATTGAAGGCTTAGAGCCCAGGTTTTGGCGCCTTGCTCTTCAACAGTTATGAGATGTTGTGAGCACTTCCCTTGCATGAGTTGCAGTATGGAGCGTTTTCATGTATGGCTCAAGGGTGACATAACCACCAAGGTATTGGGAGTTGGTGGTAAAGCGGCTTGACATCGGCCTCATGTTGCTGATCGCGTCCACGTCCGTTACCACCGACGACAAGGCAAAACTGTTGCTCTTTGCTTTAAACTCGGGCATACAACTCGCCGTCACGGCCTGGCTGAAGCCATATTCCAACTCGCAAGCAGAAATCTTGGACTTCTTGGAGTGCCTGCTGCTCGGTGCACGCTTTGTGCTCTTCACCACTGTGGCGGTACTGCTAATATTCTTTCCACCTGCAGAGAGCATGTGGGCTTGGTCGGCCACTTGATTCGAAAATAGCATCCCTAGATAGGTGAGCTTCCCCGCGTCACTCGAATGAACTCTGTCGAGTGCCGAGGTTTCGTTGCTGGTGATGCTGGTGTCAGTGATCGTGTATGCGGTGCTTCACATCATTGGTCAGACCCTGCGCAATGCTGCTGGCCAGCTGGGCGGCAAGCCCAAGATGGGCGAGGACGGGGTGAGATCCTCAACGCTTCATCCGCCTTGTATGGTCTAGATCGCCTTCGAACTCGATCAATCCAACAAAACGGGTTCTGATGCACCACAACAGCAGGGTCATTGGGCATGTTTGGGGGGTGTTGAGGGGGCGGGGGGTGGGTGGCTGGGGATGGGGCTGGTTTATCCACACGCCGATGTGCAGCATGGACCCCTGCTGGTTGGTCATGAGAGCGAGCGCTCTGCTGCCTTCTGGAATGCTTCTGTGCAAGACGGGGCAGGAGCGGAAGATTGTGCTTTGTCATTCGCTGGCCTCCCGAAGCGGATTCCTCAACTTCGATGGTGCCATGGCTGCTTCTGTGCCGTAGAAGTGCCGTCTTCAGCATCGAATGTCTTAACCGTCCAACCTTGTACAAGTGCGCAGACAGCTGTCCTTCCAACGAGCTGCTTAGACCACTTGATCATGAGTTGTCGTTATCCCACAAAAGCAACTTGTTCCGGGGACCAATGTCATCCCGAACAGCGATTGGCCCGAATTCCTCACCAGGAACCTCGGCGACTTCAGAAGTTCATCCGCATGCATACGCCAGTCCGAATCAGGAGTGTAGGTACCCGACCTGCGTCTACTCAACTCTCTGCCTAGCATGGTGCTGCTGCCCACGATTTTGCGGGATCTTGCATTAGTTATTGGACTAAGGCGCAGGCCCCCTCACCAAGCTGAAGCAGAGCGTCGTGGCCCTTTTGCTGCCCCTGTTCCAGCCGGAGTCATACCTGGCCTTCCACTGGTCCATAACCGCCGAGAGTCCCAACATCATCACGCGGAGGAGCCAGATCCAGGTGCTTCCGAAGGGTTCGCGGTTTAGGCCTTGGGCTTGGGCTTGTGGGGGACGGCTCTCAGGCAGAATCCTGTTTGAGGCTGAGCATGAGCGGTCCGGCCTCGTGTTTTCACAAAACTCGTGACACCTGGACGGAGGTACCTCGCTACCTGTCGGATCGCAGCCCCCAGGATGCACTCGGCGCTGGCAGATTTTATTGTTCACCCCCTTCCGGGCTCAGGGCATGTTGTGGGTCTTTCTATAATATTAAAGCAGCCAGAGCCAACTATGCATGTCCTGTAACTATGCACGTCCTCTATTTGCCCAACTGGTTTGCTGGTTGCGGAGCCACGAGGCTGGCTGCTGACAAAGCTGGCGAAGGCTTCAGCGCTCTTGCTGAGGCTTTCCGTCGGATTTCAAAAAGAGGCGGTGAGCAAGGCCTACCAGGACTTCGTGCAGCTCTGGCTTTCAGACTTCGATGGACTGAACATCCCCAATGTGAGCGTGCTGTGTGCCTTGGCTGTCGCCTGCCGAGCACTGCCCGATAACCTCTCGAACTCTCTGATCTGCAGCTTCTGGAAGAGGGAGATCAAGAAGCTCGCAGCACAGGCTTCGAGTAGTCTTCGTGTCTGCTTTTTCTTCGGCGTAATGGGTGGGATAGGAGCTGCTAAGAACCGTGGCTTGAAGCAAGACTAACTTGGAAGAACTCAGCTTGCCAGCGCACTTCTTTACATCAGACAGACAAAAACTGAAGCGAACATATACAAGCAGGTTCCATGGGTCCTAAACCTGCATGCCAGGCGGTTCACCTTTGAAACGGTGCGTTTTCGCAAACCCCTACTCGTAGTTGAAAGATGCAGCACGACTTTCGATCCGACGTCTTGTTGACTCAGCCGGCTGGCTTTCGTTGAGGGCTTCGGCCTGTTCCTATCCGAGAACGTACGATTGCAGCGGTGCCTAGGCGGCGTGCAAGCTAGCCAGCTGGTTTTTCTGTATCTGTGAAGGCAGATTCTCGATGGCAGCTGTTTGCCGATGACTTCGCCAAGACGGTGCAGATGTTCGCGATGCTTCAGAAGGCAAGCGAAGCATGCTGCGAACAGGGAGACAAGTGAAGAGAGAGCCAGCTCGAAACAGGCGGATGCCGACGACCTCATGCGGTCGGTGCAAGACATGCTCAAGGAAGCAAACAGCCGCGACCAGAATGGCGATGCCTCCTGGATCAACCTCGGAGACAAAAACCACAGGTGTTTCATAGTTTTCCGTTGACAGGCTATGAGATTTTGAGCTTGCTGAGCTCATCTTCTAAGGCAACGTTGCACCTTGAGAGGGCCTACAACGTGTTCTTTCTTGAAGCCTTTCGAACCTGTCAAAGGAGCACATAGTGAGTCTTGCTTGTTAGCCACTCTGACTCTTGAGGCCACTGCAAGCAAGCTGCCATTCCTCACTGACAGCGAAGATGTGGCAGCCTGAGTCGCATAGTGCCATCGCTAGATGCGAGCATGCACCGTAAAGCCTTTCCGAGCCAAATGCTGAGCTCCCTCATTTTGTTAGGTCTTTGTTTGCCTTCACCTTGCGAGAGTGTTTCTTACCCTCTGCTCACAACATGCCTGACAGGATGATGCTAATCAGACGCCTGATGAGGCCACGCCGGTTTCGGGATTGGAGATTGGCGGTGGAGGGGGCTTTGACGACTCAACGTGTGGTTGTCGCTTACTTGTAAGCTTGGCTGAGTGGCAGAGGAGACGGAGCCTCGCCATCCATAATCCAACCAGAATTTGCCGGGAGGCCACGGCAGGCAAGCCGTTGCTCACCGACAGCGAGGCTGCGGTGGACTGAGTCACAGACTGAAATCGCCAGCTGAGAACATCCATAGGGGAGCTTTTCTACGCCACATGCAAGCCTCGCTGATTTTTTAATGATTGTTTTGCTTTCTCCTTGCGAGATTGGTTCTTGTCGTATCCTTTCCTCACGACATGCCTGACAGGATGATGCTATCAGTCAGACACCCGCTGAGGCCACTTGTGGGTGGAAGGGCTTTGACGACTCAACGTGTGGTTGTCGCTTGCTTGTTAGCTTGGCTCAATGTGAGCATAGCCATCTGCAATCCAGCTGGAATTTGCTTGAAGGCCACGGCAGGCAAGCCGTTGCTTGCAGACAGCGAGGCTGTAGTGGAGTGAGTCCCAGATTGTCTTCGCCAGCTGTCAACATGCATCGGAGAGTTTTCCATATGCATTCCTCGTCAACTGTGCGGGGATGTTTTCGCATGCTACCGATGAGGCCACTCCGGTTTCGGGATTGGAGATTGGCGGTGGGGGGGGCTTTGACGACTCAACGTGTGGTTGTCGCTTACTTGTAAGCTTGGCTGAGTGGCAGAGGAGACGGAGCCTCGCCATCCATAATCCAACCGGAATTTGCCGGGAGGCCACGGCAGGCAAGCCGTTGCTCACCGACAGCGAGGCTGTGGTGGACTGAGTCACAGACTGAAATCGCCAGCTGAGAACATCCATAGGGGAGCTTTTCTACGCCACATGCAAGCCTCGCTGATTTTTTAATGATTGTTTTGCTTTCTCCTTGCGAGATTGGTTCTCGTCGTATCCTTTCCTCACGACATGCCTGACAGGATGATGCTATCAGTCAGACACCCGCTGAGGCCACTTGTGGGTGGAAGGGCTTTGACGACTCAACGTGTGGTTGTCGCTTGCTTGTTAGCTTGGCTCAATGTGAGCATAGCCATCTGCAATCCAGCTGGAATTTGCTTGAAGGCCACGGCAGGCAAGCCGTTGCTTGCAGACAGCGAGGCTGTAGTGGAGTGAGTCCCAGATTGTCTTCGCCAGCTGTCAGCATGCATCGGAGAGTTTTTCATATGCATTCCTCGTCAACTGTGCGGGGATGTTTTCGCATGCTACCGATGAGGCCACTCCGGTTTCGGGATTGGAGATTGGCGGTGGAGGGGGCTTTGACGACTCAACGTGTGGTTGTCGCTTACTTGTAAGCTTGGCTGAGTGGCAGAGGAGACGGAGCCTCGCCATCCATAATCCAACCGGAATTTGCCGGGAGGCCACGGCAGGCAAGCCGTTGCTCACCGACAGCGAGGCTGTGGTGGACTGAGTCACAGACTGAAATCGCCAGCTGAGAACATGCATAGGGGAGCTTTTCTACGCCACATGCAAGCCTCGCTGATTTTGTTTGGATGTTTTTTCCCTCATCTTTGTGTGGGGTTACTTTTGGGGCTCTCCCGCCCCCTCACTAACTCACTCATGCACTCATTGACTCGTATTCACCTAGATACTCTTGCGAGAAGATGAAATACACATGTGGGGTTATCCGGTCTTAATTGCTTTCTCTTTGCGAGATTGGTTCTTGTCGTGTCCTTTCTTCACGACATGCCTGACAGGATGATGCTGTCAGTCAGACGCCCGATGAGGCCACTCTGGTTATGGGGTTGCTAGTCAGCTACTAATCGCCTACTTGTGAGCCTGCCTATGTGAGGGTTGACCGAACTGGTTCCCACAACTGGCCCATGACACAAGCTCCGACGTGACCATCGAGCGAGAATGCATCGGATTCGAGTCACAACCGACCAGAGGCCGAGGCAGGCCAGGAGATTTCGGTTTTGAGTTTTTCTCCACTTCCGATGCTTCGGTCTTTCTGCTCAGTTGGCGAGCGTCGTCAGCACGGCGGAAGGCACACGTGCTGTCAGAATTTCACTGCTCCCCACGCCCGGACCGGCCAAGTTAGTTGCACCCTTGCCGTCCCATCAGCAAAGACGCCGACTGCATTGCGATGTCCGTACCACCAGAAACTGCACAGGTGAGCTGGTGCAGGCTGGTGCCGTGATGAAGGTCCGGGCTCCAGGGATCTGGAGGGACTCGCCAGAGCAGTAGAACGGGAGGCTGGTTTATGCAGTAGGCTGTGGGAATTTTCTGGCAGTTTTTCTGCGAATGCCGACTAAGTGTCACAGAAGCTGGTTCTGCTAAGATCTGACATGTGTCAGGCTGCATCTCCGAAGGAGGTGAAGATCAAGGCCAGGAGAAGCCAAAGAAAAGAAGACCCGCTCGGTCGGTGTTGCTGCAGCAGGCCAAACGGAAGAGAAAGAAGCCGACGGTTCAGACTGATGCAGCAGCCTAAGAGCTTAGGCGACGCAGCCGCAACCCTGAGAACGATGTCAGAGCACTACCATGGGAATTTGGCGCAGCGATTTTCAGCCAGGTTCTGCTTAACTTGCTCTTTTCTTGAGCTAGATGGCTATGGACTGATAGGTCTGCGGCAGCCGGTGGAAAGATACCTGTGCTGCTTTGTCTCCAGCCAGCGTTCTTTTTTCATGTGTTGTGTGTCAGAATCTTCTTGCACGCAAGTGCACCGTCACAGGAGCCCGGCTGCTACACGCTTATAGCATGTGACAGGGGCCAGGCATGTGCCTTCGACCCTCAAGAGCACAACCCCGCTGAGAAGCAGAAAATTGAGACAACCGGACAGCCCTGGCTGCTATCTCAAGTATTACAACTGGCACAGGTCAAAGGCTCAGAGGTAAAGCTGCTCGATGGCCTCAGAGCGTTCCTGGGAAGATCATTCGACAGGGGCTCTGAGGCCTAAAGGCCAGGGCACCTACCAATACAGAGGAGCAACATCAAGCCAGGAGCCCATTCATATGGAGGAAGTGGGATGGGTGTGAGGTGGAGATGGGAGACCATGTGCGGCGACGCTGAGTCGCAACCTGCATGCTCCGAACTCTCTCAACCTTGGGGATTCAATGGGATGCAGAGCACTTTCGGAGACAAGGTAAGGGCAATCGGAGGCCTCAACTCGATCTTCGCACATTGGAGACTGACAGGTCAAGAAGCCGTCATCGACATCGCACAGTGGCGGCAGAGATGTGTCAGCCCAGGCGATGGCCAGCTGTGGAATGAGAGGTTTAGGGTTTGAGGTCTGGGGTGTAACGGGGTCTTCCACGCAAAGCCCCTGCCTGAAGGTGGAAACCACCACCATCGTCGTCGGCGGCGCCTGAATTGCATTGAATCGTTCTCTACACTGTACTGAAGAGCAAGATTCGACAAAAAAGGCTAAGAGACAAGCCTGCAGCATGCAGGTGCAGAGATTGTCGAGACAGGTGTCATCTGCTCAGAGGCCTGCTGAAAATGACGGCGGGGGTAAGCATGCCGGCGCCCAAAAGCACCCGAGATAGCCCTGCCAGAACCCAAAACTGTTGCAGGTTTGAGGAGCCTGGGGGGGTTTTGGAGGCATCGAGGAACAAGTGAGACTCGGCTGAGAGCAAGGCTCCCAAGGCAAGGCTCCCAAGCGCCTCGAAGCGTCCAAGCACCGGAAAGCTTGACGAGCCGAAATTCACCTGCGAACGCCTGAACGCGTCGAAGTGACTCGAAGCACTTGGGAACAGGCTCAGAAGAGCTTCGGCTGGAAGTGTCCAAGCAGAAGTTTTGAATGCCTGCGGGCTTGTAAAGGTCTGGGAAGCCTGGAGACTACGAAATCGACACTAGTTTCGCCTGCACTCTGTTTGCGGTTGTGGACCTCCAATCTGTCGCTCCCCGGCCAGGATCCCGCGCAGAGCCACGTGCAAGGCCTGCGCGTGTTGTTGAACTTGCATGAAGTCCGCCAAGAGCTGACAGCTTTTTGCAGGCGAGGTCGGTGAGGTGGCGGAGTTTCCACACCATAGTTTGACAGAGGCTGGTCGACTTGTGTTGTCCTGCCTCTCCGGTTCTGTGATTTTGGAGCTGCTGGTGACGCTTCAGCTCAAGCCTCACCCACTCCGCGGTAAAAAAGATACAGGCTGCACCTCCGAAGGAGATGAAGATCAAGGCCAGCACAGCCCAAAGCAGAGAAGACGTTCTCGGTGCTGCTGCGGCAGGCCAAGCGGAAGACAAAGAAGCCCGTGGGCCAGCCTGAGCAGCCCAAGCTCTCAAGCGAGGCAGCGTCGGAAGACTTTGCAGGCAGTTTGCGATCTTTGCTTATGCAGCCGTCTTCTTTGTCTAAGCGTCTGCCTGCAATCCTGCAAGGCATACCGTCTGTATCCCTCGTCGTAGCCCAGGTCAGCGCGGTCCAACCCGGCGGCCATGATTTCGATGCATCTCGCTTTGCAGTTTCAGAGCGAGTCTTGCAGGTGAGAGCTGCCATTGTGCTACAATTTTCCGGCCCGACGAAGTCTTCGAAAGGGTGCCTGACATCTGTCTTGTGCGGACAGCGGTTTTTGCTCATTTCTGAGGGTAGGCCAGACAGACTGGAAGAAGACGAAGCCACAGAAGCCCAAGCTCAAGAAACCTGAGACCCCAAAACAAACGTCCTGCACTCCAACAACAAGCCAGTACTAAGCCAGTTATGAGCCCTAAGAAACCCAAGCTGAATAAACCATTCCAAAAGCCCCACCCTTCTAACAAAAACCAAGCTCTCAGATCCTTGAAGAGACGGAAAAGCAGCCTCGGCCTCGAGCTGCAAAATCGTCGAGTTGAGACTATGTTATATATATATATATATACATATATATATATATATATATATATTGATATACGCATACGTACATACACACCAAATGTTACATATTCGGCATTCTGCTATACATGTTATATGATATCATATGGTATTTCGTTTGTGTTGAATTCTATTCCAAATATACAGGATTCCATGATACGATATTCTGTACACCAAGGAGCTCCTCAGAGGAGCAGTGTTTCTGAGATGGTCATAATTATTGCACGAAGGTTTCACCAAAACAGAGCCCTCAAGCAACACGCTCAAACTGCAGTTGCCGCATGGCATCATAGCGGTGGTGACATGTTGCCTGTGCATCTGGACTAACATACGATTGTGCAGCACCAGGAGGCTGAGCCGAGCTGGCGACATGGCCCATTCTTGCATGTCGCACGGAAACTGTTCGATGGTGGTGCAGCGAACAGTTGCGCCAACGCGTGTTTGCACGGAGGGAGAGGCTCTGCCAGCCTTGAGGCGCAAGCCAGCCGGCGTGACACCACCCGAAGCCTTGGAGCATACGTCCCCAAGAAGCAGCCGATGGGGCGAGCGTCGGCATGAGGAAGCAGTGGCAAATCATAGTCAGGCCTACGACTCAAGCTGCAGATCCTGGCACCTCACTCCCCGAATCAGACATCGGGGGGCTGCCTAAGATTCACCTGCGAAGGAGCGGTAGGCATTCAAGTTTGGAAATCCTGACACAGCACGTCCCCACCTTCCAAGTCTACGAGCAGCCCCCCGAGAATCCTTTGCCGGTGCCAATGCCGCCGGCGCAAGCAAGCAATATGTCGTTTCGACTGGGTTCTGATTAAGAAACGCAAGTGAAGTCACCATGATCAAAATGTCGAAGAAGTTACATGCTCTCATTATGCTTACTTCAACTAGCTTCGTGAAGAAGAACCCAGATTCCCGGAGATCCCGAGATCTTCCTGCAGACATGCACTATGCGCTTCTACCAAACTGCAGAGAGCCCTCAGGCAGGACAGACTGGACAGGACGGCTAAGGTTATAAGGCTAGGGCTTAGGGTCACAGTTGTAGGTTATAGATTTAGGGTTAGTTGTAGCAACCTTGGGTAGATGTGTAGATGTGACAGAGCAGACTGAGCCAAGATCCCACAATGTGGGAGTCTTGCATTGCAGCTCTAGGCCACGCGGTTTGTCGCGTGTAATTCTCGGTGGGCGGGTGAAATCTGAAGTTTCACATGCGGGTTGCCAATCAAGCTGTGTACTTCTGACACTTCACATTCGCAACCTCGAAGTATAAGAGCCGCCCCCCGAGAATCCTGCAGCCGGTGCCAATGACGCTCGGCACATGCAAGGAATACGTCGTTTCAGCTGGGTTCTGATGAAGTACCACAAGTGAAGTTACCACAAGCAATAATTTCGAACAAGTAACATGCTATCTGTTTATGTGATCTCAATTTTCCTGCGTCAAGATGAACCTAGGCTTCTGAATGATCCCGAGATCTTCCTGCCACTATTTGCAAAACGCTTTGGACACAGAGAGCCGTCAGGCAGGACACGACGGCCAGGGGCATGAGGTAAGCTTCTTGAGTAGATTTGCCACATTTGGCAAGAATATAGGACTAGCACCAAGCCGAAACCTAAAGCTCAGGCGAGCATGAAACCCTTAACGTGAGTCCTACACTGCAGCTCTGGGACGCGCGCCCTATCGCGTAATGCTTGGCTGGCGTGTGAAAGCTGGCACCGTCACATCGAGAGAGGGAGGGAGACGGAAGTCGGGCTTGGGATATCGGCGTATCAGCTCGAGAGTTCTGATCTTCGTCCGAAAGTGTTAGCCTGCATGGTCCGATCTTGATCTTGTGTGAAGGATCTCCGTGTGTGCATGCGGAGGTGGGTCTGCACTGACGGGGGAATGTCAGATCTTTCCGCCCCAGCTTTCCCCGACAGGCATGGTGGTCTAAAGTTGCCGAAGGAACTACGAGCCTGCAGCCTTCGGTTCGTGCAACGTGCTGCGCACAAGCAAGGTAGCTTTGTAGAGCTACAGGTCTGGATTAGCCTACAATCCCTGAGCTGAAACCCACTAAAGTGATCACCCGAAGCCTCGAACGCATGCGAAGGCAGAAGCACGCAAAATTTTGTCACCCCAGCAGCGCTCTTTGCCATGCGGTCGTCCGTGTCTTCGGGTGTCAAGGCGGGCTTGCAGCAATGAAGCTTGGTTGGAAGTGCATGCAGAGTGGTGTCTGTCCGAGAGCTGTCGCTTTCCGATGCAGGTTCTGGCACACAGGTTGCAAGTTACCTCAGGTTGTTTCTTCCGATTTGCCATGCCGCGTCATGCCAAAGCGGGAAAGAACGTCGGCACCGGAGGCGGAGGCGGAAGGCCCAAGGCCCAAAAGCTGGAGAAGGCCGTGCTCCTCGCTCAGCTGGAGCTCGCAAGAGCCGAACGCGCTCAAGCTGATGAAAAGATCCGGCGTTTGGAGAAGCAGCTCTTCGGGACAGAGCATTCCTCGGAGTCGGAGAAGTCCGCTTCGGAGTCTGATTCCGAGGATGTGGGAGAGATGCTCTTCGACAAGTTGCTGGAGGGCTTGGGCGACGGCTTCCCTGCATCCATTCGTAAGTCAGCACAGGAAGCCGCACGGGATGGGCCGGAAGCGGATGAGCAATGCCGTAAAGGCAGCAACTGGATTGGTGGAATTCAGCTGGCCTGGACCTCGCCGCCAACGGTGCGGAAGGTGGAATCACACGTTCAGGAGCACTTCCCAAGGCCCATCAAGCCCGGCCACACCCTCAGCGAGATCGATGGCTCTCCGGTGGATGGCCGTAGCCGGCGAGAGATTCTGGGCTTCTTGCGGAAGTTCAAAGGGAGCCTTGGCTTCAAGGGCGGCTCAGGCTTGAGCCAGAAGAGTCACAAAGAAGCCATCAGGGAGTCGGCCAAGGAGGCTTTGAGGAGTGGCCCCGAAGAGGATTCTCAACACCCTGCCGAGGGGCAGAACTGGATTTGGGGCTTCCTCCTGGCATGGACATCTCCGCCAGTGGTTCGGGATGTGAAGCCGGAGGTTCAGGAGCATTTCCCAAGCCCCATCAATCCCGGGGACTTCTTGCATCAGGTTGACGGCAAGCGCGTGGAGAACATGAGTCGCACAGAAGTCTTAAAGCTCCTCCAGAAGTACAGTGGCAGGATTGGCTTCAGAAGCGGCCAGGATGACGATTTCCGCAAGTCAGCACAGGAAGCTTTGCACAGTGGCCCGCAAGAAGATGCAGAATCCGGAAAGGGATGTGACTGGATCGGTGGCATCTTGCTGGCGTGGACCTCTCCTCCCGTGGTTCGCGATGTGAAGCCGGGAATGCAAAGGCACTTTGAAAAGCCAATTGCTGCTGGGGACATCTTGCACGCGGTTGATGGCACACGTGTACAGGGCTTGAGCCGCAGACAGATCCTTCAGCTCCTCGAGCAGCACAAGGGAAGTCTTTGCTTCAAGAATGGTGATGACATGGATGACATGATTCGCACATCCGCGCGGGAAGCCGCACGAAGTGGCCCACAAGAAGATGCAGAATCAGGAAAGGGATGTGACTGGATCGGTGGTATCCTGCTTGCATGGACGTCTCCTCCCGTGGTTCGGGATGTGAAGCCCGAAGTGCAGAAACACTTCCCAAAGCCAATCTCTGCCGGTGATGTCTTGCGCCAGGTTGACGGCAAGCTTGTGGGCAACATGACGCGTGCGGAGATTCTGGGCTTGTTCCAGGACTTCCGAGGCAGCCTAGGCTTCAGAGGAGCTGATATGGACGAAGACGTGCGGGTGTCGGCACAGAAAGCTCTTGAACATGGCCCCGAAGCGGATGAGCAGTCCGGCAAGGGCCAAAATTGGATCGGCGGTATCTTGCTCGCGTGGACTTCCCCTCCTGTGGTCCGGGACGTGAAGCCCGCAGTACAGAAGCACTTTCCGAGGCCAATCACTCCAGGTGATGTGCTGCGCATGGTGGATGGACAGCTTGTTCAGCACATGTCCCGCAGAGAAATCCTTCGTTCCCTCGTGCAGTTTGAGGGCGAGCTCGGCTTCCGCTCCAAGTCGCCCGCCGACATCAGCCTTGCGGATCTGCTTCGTCGCTTGGGGGATCCGTGAAGCTGATCTTTAGCGAGCTGACTTGAGCTGTTGTGCCCCGGTCAAAACTGCTTCGGCTGCGGGCCCCAATCTCTCTCATTGCCCCTAACGGCCCCGAAATGCCGCAACACCGACCCTCAGTCTGTTCCCTTTCCGAAAGGCCGTGGCAGAGCAGCGGCCGTGCTCTGAGCGACTTAGGGCCTGAAGGTTTTGGGGTTTGGGAGCTGATACGGCTTTACGGCTGCGGGTTTGAGGCTTCAGATCTTTGGCGTTTCTTGCGTGTCAGGATCCGGAGTTCTCAGATTCGGCATGCTCCAAGGAGCCCCTTCTTAGGCAAGGACAACGATCTTCCAAAAATGCTCGAAGAGAAAGGGTTCTGGTTAGAAGGTCTGTGGGGAGGAGTGAGGACCTGACGAGGTCTTGTGCTTGTGCCTTTTCCGGAAATCCGTCTGCTAGACCTTGTTGGAGAACTTGTGCTTGCAGGCGCACGTTCTGTACACATGCATCTCTGGATGTCCAAGAGGGCGCTATTTTGTGCCAAGGTCTCACTCCTTGCTGGATCCACCGACCGAAGCCAGAGGACAGGGTTGAGGGGTTTGGTGTTTGTGGTTTCTGTAGCTCCCCCTCTCTCCTTCTCTTCTTCAGTCTCTCTCGCACTGTCTCTCCTTCTCTCTTCCCTGTCCTGGAACTGGAGATGTGCATGCAACGACTGAGCTCAGGTGAAGTGCCGCCACTGCGCTTGAGCAGAAACTGTGATGACTTGATCCGCTGTGACGCCTTCCACGGCCGATCCTGGGTTCCGAAGTCAGTGGCCGTGTATCGTGAAAAAGCCTCGAGCCACGAGAGCCACGAGCATCTGCTCTCGCTGCTTGGATTTCGTCAGCCTGGTGTGGTTGCAACGGCCCGTTGGTGCATCGCCAGTCCGTCGCGTGCTCGGAACGCGCAAATTATCCTTCGCCCTTCTAGCGGCAGTGTGAGTGTGGTATTCGGGGGAGTCTTCAACGCAAACATCTTTGCACATCTTTCAAGGTGACGTCTTCAAGCCACCAGGAAGGATTCGTTTCCCCGAGCCCTGAACCCTCGGTGTCAAGTCCGAGGTCTTAGCACCGGCGTTGACGACCCCTCACATCATCGCGCTCTGAAGCGGGATCGAACGTAATCTCGTCGCCTTCGTCTAGAGCCCCACACCTTATGCTAAAAACCCTGCAGCCTGCACCCGAAACGGGCGGTTGGTGAGAGCTCCGCAAGCCAACCTGCTGTCTGCCGCAGCTGAGGCCCGTGTTTGCGAAATCTACTCCTCTCGGTCTCCGGATTTGGGGTTTTAGGGTTTGGAGTGAGATCTAGAGCACCGAAAGAGCCGAACCTCCGAGCCCTGAACCTCTCGATAGCCATAGCTCGAGTTAGGGGGTTCTAGGGTTGAGGCTTTCCGGTGTTCGCGCTAGCCCTGACGCCCCAAAGCCTGCGACGAAGCCATGGGCGTGCCGTGCTCGGGCTCGCGCTTCCTTCTCCTGCTCTGCGGCCTTTTCGCACGAGCTCTGAGCTTTCGATCTGCGCAGGACGCCGGTTTCGGGCCGATCAGGGCTTAGAGGGCTAACGGTGCAGGGCCTGCGGCCACTTCGTGTTTAATTGTTTGTGTTCCAAGGTTTTGGGGAGAGTCCAAGACCACAATGCATCAAGCCTCATTGTGGGGTGTGCTTACTGTGCAGGGGGTCACGCTTGGGGGGGTTTAGCTCAAGGTTCCGGGCTTAAGGCCGGAAGGGGTTGAGAATATTTGGTTTTGTCTCGGCCCATTCTCCCCAGAATTTCGCGAGGGTTTCGGGCTTGGGGGTAGTATGGAGGGGGGAGGGCTTAAAGTCTGGGGGTACAGCTATGGATCAGGTTTCGAGCAAACAGGGGTTCGCGTTTAAGTCGTTGTCGACGAAGTGTTAGTTCAAGGCTCCAGGATCAGTGGTGCTTTAGACCTATACCGAGAGCTGCCGCCTTCCTGAAACCCTTCAGAGGATTTTGGATTCCTTCTAGACTTCTTTTCGATTCCCCGCAGAACCCTTTACAGCGACCCTTGCAGCACCCCTTAAAAAAATGAACCCTTGCAGCACCCCTTAAAAAATGGACCTCTCTTTAATGTCCTTAAAGGGCTTTTTTACCGCTTTGTTTTCGGGATGCAGGGTTTTTCTCCCAGAAGTGGTTTTTCCCTGCATCTGTCTTCTCGACCCAGCCGATCCAGCATGCCCTGCTGCGTTTACAGGAGTTTAGACGTTGAATCTGCCCCAAACCCTAAACCCTGTTTGGAACACTTATAGATCGCTTTAAGGAACCCTTAGAGATCCCTTTAAGGAACCCTTCTAGGATCCCTTTAAGGAACCCTTATAGGATCCCTTTAAGGAGCCCTTATAGTTATAGCTCCCTTTTTGGCCCTTGAGAATCGGCTGCTGCTCAGGATTTCGGGGAGCTCTCCTGGGCATCCCCTTGGGAATCCTCGACTCTTCAGAGGCCACGCCTTCAGGCTTTCGGGTTTGAGGGTTTTTGGGGGATTTTAGGATTTAAGATTTTAGGGTTTTAGTTTTTTTTTGGGGTGGTGTTTTAGGGTTTCTGGGCTTTGGTGTAGTGTTTAGGGTTCAGGGCCCAGGCTTTAGTGCTTGAGGGGTGGTGGTTAAATGAGAACTTCAAAGAGTTAGCCGCTAGCCGGTTTGGGGCGGAGTTTCGGGGTTCAGGGGTCAAGGGTTGTGTCGGTGGCCGAACTCCGAACCCCAAGCCAAATTGCCTGCACAGTCACTGCACTATGTCCACCTCACCTAGCTCTGAACCACTGTGACGAGTCACCGCATGGAGGCGTCTCCGACGCAAGTGTCTGAAGGAAAGCTGAAGCCAGAAACCAACCGATTCAGCCAAGCCTCAATCTGCGATCTGATGTACACAAAAAGCCCACGTGGCCACAGACACTTGCGCAGTTAGCCAAAAAGGTGGCAGCCTTCTCGCTCCTAGTAGCTGCCACTAGCTGCCAATTGATATAACTGTAGACTTTGAGGCGATGCTAGCACTCCAGATCGCGTTCGCTCTACCTTTTTGCTTTTGATCCAAGGGGAGTCCCAAACTGTCAGAGGGATTGCCAATAGACGCGGTTTTTTTTGTTGCATGACGGCCGTCAGGCAGCTGGTGGGTTTCGACAGCTTCGGGGCCCCCGATGTAGAGGAGGCTCCTGGGCGATTTCTTTGGGTTTGAGGGTTCTTCGGGTTTGATTTTATACGGGCGTGGAAGGTATGAGGCAGGGAGTTTCGGGCTTCAGAGTTTAAAGGGGCTGGCAGAACAGGATCCTTTCTCAAGAGAGAGGGCCCAGGTTTCTGAGTTCCAGATTTCATTCCTGGAGGTTCAAGATAGCCAACCCTAAACCCTAAATTAAACCCTAAAAGGAATTTTCTTTTCGGGTTAGGGTTTGGGCCTTATCATAGTAGCCTGTGGGAACTCTACGCACCAAGCCGAAGCAGGAAAGCTGCAAGCCGAAGTCGTCAACCTTTAACCCCAACCAACCCTAAACCCCCAAGTCTAAACCCCAAATCTCAAATCCGAGCCTCAAGTCCCAAACCCCGAAATCTCAAGCGCTAAACCCCAAACCCGAAACCCCCAATCCTAAACCATAATTTTCAATTCCTAAAAGCCCAAAAGTCCAAAGTCTTAAATTCTATCCCATCGCCATGAGCTCTGCACAGAGCGCCGAAAGCTGGAACCCTCGTAGTTCGGTGTAGAGCTTGGGCCCCATATGACCTTGACCCTTGCAAACATCCGCGAAACCTATCTTGCTGACGCACGAGAATCCCAATCCCGAAGACTCTAAGCCCTAGAATGGCGCTTGCTTGCAGGATGGTTCAGGGCTGACTGCCTACCTCTTCGAAGAGCTAATGAAGAAACTGGGCCATTCTTGAGCACTTTCTTGGTTGCGGTGTGGTGGAACGAAATTCTGATGTCATCATGGGCTCCAACTCAGGAAATGCGAGGCAGCCAACACGAGCAAACTGGGTGAGGTGGGGACAGACTGGTAACCAGAATAGGGGGTAACTCGCAAATAGTATGGTTTCCTTATTAAGCTAAATATTTGTTGCAGTAGCTAAACTTCACCGAAACTTTCCCTGCCGAAGATCCTATGTTTTGTAGAAGTCGTTGTCGCGCTTGTCATGCAGTGGTTTGTTTGGAGGTTCTCTTTTTGGCATCGCGGTTCGTGGGCTAAAGAAGGCACTGGGACATATCGTGTTTTGGCATCAGGGTCTACCGCTCAATCCACCTTTGGATTTCGTAGCTGCTTGGTTTTCCGGCCTAGAGTTCAATTCGGCTGTGGGGCCTCTGCTGTTTTGGTTGCAGGGTTTGGGGTCACGATTTCGAACGGCTTTGGGTCTGGATTAGTTGAGAGTTGGGGTAAAGCCTAAGTGTAGACACCGATCCTCGCGGATGAGAGTATACTAAGCCCCAAATCAGGACCGTACATTTATGTCTCTAACTTTTACTCCTACTATTACAAGGGTTTAGGGGACTCCTACCATCCCTCCTAGAATCTCGCAACCTAGGCCTTTGAACCTTAACGTCAGCCTTAAGCCGCTTGGGGCTGAGGACTTTAGACGGCTTTTTATCATCGGGTTTGAGCGACTTGGGCTTCGGGCTTACTTCCATCAATATCGTAATTATACCGGTACTTGATTATAACCACAATTAGGGTACTAATGGCCTTAATTTCTTACCTAAGTCCCATGATCCTCCAAGTAGAGCACGGCAGTATCTGGGATTTCCTGAGAAGCGCGCATCAAGTGAGCTCACTTGGACTCCAGACAGCCCTCTAAATTCAGCCCTAGACTTCGCGAAAAACGCAGTGAAAGGCGATGGCGCGAAACCTAAACCCCCAACGCCCGAACATCCCGAACTCAAGCCTAATTAAAGCCCCAGCGGTCTAAACCTTGAACCCTAAACTAGCTTCGTAACCCGTTTGCACGCCCTGACCCCTAGAAGCCCTGACGCCTGAATGCTTAGAACTACTGGGCTTGTGATCTTAGCGCTTCAGGGTAGCGCCGCCAATGCCATGGCCGATTCCATGCGGGCCGGAGGCATGCAAGAGATCTGGAGCTTCTCGCAGTCCGCCGAGGCCGGTCCGGACAAGGCCCAGCAGACCGTGAGGGTTCATTGCCTGGCAGGTTCCAGTTTTGAGCTGGAGGTCAACTCGGGCGAAACGGGCAGGGATGTAGCAGAACGCATCGCAGCCCGAGTTGGCCACCCTGCTGCGGTACTCGTGCTGACATCTGGTGGCTGTGTCATCGAGCACCGCCGGCTGCTGCTGCCTCAAGTCCAGCACGAGGAGATGACCTACGTGGTGCAAAAGCTTGGCGCGGGTGGTGTCGCGATGCTGTGGGATCGTCTAATCACGGAAAAGGAAAGACTCTGTCACCGTCTGAAGTGTTTGCCCTGAACGAAACCACGTCACTCACCTGCAATTCCAACCAGAGCTTGGATGGCATCCAACTACCCAGCAGCCTGCAGAGTTTGAAATTTGGCGACGATTTCGACCCGAGCTTGGAGGGCATCCAACTACCCAGCAGCCTGCAGAGTTTGACGTTTGGCCGAGACTTTAACCAGAGCTTGCGGGGCATCCAACTACCCAGCAGCCTGCAGAGTTTGACGTTTGGCGCCCAATTCAACCAGAGCCTGGAGGGCATCCACCTACCCAGCAGCCTGCAGATTTTAACGTTTGGGTACTACTTCAACCAGAGCTTGGGCGGCATCCAGCTACCCAGCAGCATGCAGAGTTTGACATTTGGCGACGGGTTCGACCAGAGCTTGGAGGGCATCCAGCTACCAAGCGGTCTGCAAATATTGACATTTGGCGACGAGTTCGACCATTCCTTGGAGGGCATCCAACTACCCAGCAGCCTGCAAAGATTGACGTTTGGCCGAGAGTTTAACCAAAGCTTGGACGGCATCCAGCTACCCAGCAGCCTGCAGAGTTTGACATTTGGCGACAGCTTCAACCAAAGCTTAGAGGGGATCCCACTACCCAGCAGCCTGCAGAGTTTGACATTTGGCGACAGGTTCAACCAGAGCCTGGAGGGCATCCAACTACGCCGCAGCCTGCGGAGTGTGAGGCTTGGCATGTACTTCACCCAGAGCTTGGGGGAAATCCAACTTCCCAGCAGTCTGCAGAGTTTGAGGTTTGGCATCGTCCTGGATGGCATCCAACTACCGAGCAGCCTGCAGAGTTTGACATTCGTCTTCAACCCGGCGCTGGATGGCATCCAACTCCGCAGCAGCCTGCAGAGTTTGACATTTGGCGACAGGTTCAACCAGAGCCTGGAGGGCATCCAACTACCCAGCGGCCTGCAAAGATTGACATTTGGCGACGGGTTCAACCAAAGCTTGGAAGGTATCCGACTACCCAGTGGTCTGCAAATATTGACATTTGGCGACGGGTTCAACCAAAGCTTGGAAGGCATCCAACTACCAGCAGCCTGCAGAGTTTGACATTTGGCGACAGGTTCAACCAGAGCCTGGAGGGCATCCAACTACCCAGTGGCCTGCAAAGATTGACGTTTGGCCGAGAGTTTAACCAAAGGTTGGAGGGAATGCAGCTACCCAGCCTGCAGATTTTGACGTTTGACGACAGGTTCAAGCAGAGCTTGGGTGACATCCAGCTACCCAGCAGCCTGCAGAGTTTCTCTGCACGATTTATGTGTGTAGGCACGTCGTGAGCCCTGAGCTGTTAGGCAACTGTTGTACAGGGCTATCATGTTTGAAATAAGTCCCAGCTTCACTTCGATTTTCGAGTTTCGGGTGCTAAGGTTGAGGGTAGGGGGTGCCAGTCGAACCCTGAACCATAGCCCTAGCCCATTATAGGGGTGCCGTTTAGGGGACCCTAATATAGTACCCTAAATAGTAGGATCCTTATTCTAAAGATCCCAAAATAAGGTACCCCTCATTTTCGGACACTGCCGATTGCTGTTCCCCAAAAAGTACCAGGCGGCTTCGAGGTTTACGTTTAAAGGTTTTGGGTTCGGAAAAGCTTGTTTCACCTCGAGCCTTTAGGATTTGCACTGGCTACTTCGGCTACTTCTGCATGTGCCACGGTGTTGCTCTGGGGATGATAATGTTTGTTCTGTGCATCATATGCTTGTTTTAGGATAAAAACGTGTTTTTTTTTGATTGGCGTGTTGTTTCTTGAGTTATCTGTCTTTTAGTCCTAAAGTCGTCAAGGCTAGGACGAGGGAGCATGAGTCTGTGCATGGGTTCGTCGGGTGTAGAGTTCAAAGAAGAGCCCTAAACCTATGAACCCCGAAAGTCTAAACCCCAAACTCCTAATCCCGAAAGCCTAAACCTGAATGGGTCCGTGGGGTATAGGGTTCAAGAAGGCTAGCCGGGTTCGCCTTGTAAGGTTTGAACATCGCTCTGGCTCTTGCTAGGGTTGAGAAAAAGCATGTTGTTGTTGCTGTTGCTGTTGCTGTTGCTGTTGCTGTTGCTGTTGCTGTTGCTGTTGCTGCTGTTCTCTTGCTGTTGAGGTCGTCGTTGTGGTCGCATCGTTGTTGTTATTGATGTTGCTGCTGTCGTTCTTGCTCTTGCTACTGTCCTTGCTATTGTTCTTGCTATTGTTACGATTATTGTTGTTGTTTGTCGTTAGTGACTGTCAGATATGAAGTTCGTTGGGGCTTGCTTGCTTTGGTCTCCGGCTGAGCATTGGGGTTGTCGGTGTTTGCATCAGAAGTTCTTGTTCTCTTGAATTCCAGTTTTGCTGCTGGCGTGTGAGTAGGCGTTGGGTTTGTTGTGTTTTCCCCTTGGACTTGTATCTAAAAGTGGACTGGCTTTGGGCTTTGTTGTGTTTTGGTTTAGGTTCACTGGTTTGTCGTGTCTTGGGTTTAGGACCTAGCGCCTGGCTTTGGAGTTTGTCGTGTCTTGGAATTTTGGGCTGGTGAATTCGCCATTTGCATTGGCTTTGGAATTTTGTGTTGGTTGCGGGGTTGTGTTGTCTCTTGGGTTTCGGGGTCAGGTGCAGCACTCGGATCAGATTTAGGGCTTATGACGTCTTGGGTTTAGGCTTTCTGCTGTTTGGATTGGAGTTTGTCGTGTCAGTCTAGGTTTTAAGATCGGGTTTCGGGGTTGGTCGTGTCTTGGGTTCAGGGTGTAGGTCCCCGGGTCCGCTACTTGCATTGGCGTTGTATTTTCTTGTGTTGTTTTATGTTTTTGCTTTTTGGAGGGGGGTTGTTGTGTTCCTGTTTTAGGGTTTAGGTTTACCGTTTGGATTTGCTTTGGGTTTTGCCGTGTCTTGGTTTTGGGGTTTGGGTTTCAGTTTGGGTACGGCCTCCACTCAGTAATAGTTGAATAATATTCATAATATAGATATATTAGGACCTTAATAGTAGCCCTATTATAGACTCTTACTGTATGGGGGCCGTACCTAAGTTTCAGTCTTGTTGAGGTCTAGGTCCGCCGCTTGGAATGGCTTTGTGGTTTGTCGTGTCTCGGGTGTTGGGTGTTGTCAATGGTTCAAGAAAGCTGTGCGGCAAGCCGATTGATTGGAATGGCCTTCCGTACGATGTTAATCCGTTTCTCGTTTGTTGTTTTTCCGTTTCAATGTTTAGGTTTTGAGGGGGTTTCGGGGAAGGTTTCCGGACTTTAAATTCTCAAATTCTCTGCGTAGGGTGCAGTTTACGACGCGAAACCCTTTCGACTGATCCAGGTCTGCAGTTTGCAGATTTCCATCGGGCTTTGGGGCGTGTCGGTATGTGGTTGTCGGGCCCTATAAACCCTGAACCCCAAACCCTCAAACCCTTTAACCTTGAAGCTTTAACCCCGTAAACCCTAAACCTGCGGTATCGGTTTGTGAAACGGGCTCCGGGCGCAGCATCGGGCCCTGGAGGTCTGTGCACAAGCCGATGCTGATGGCCTCGTTGCCAAGATTTCGGAGAAGTTGGCATCGGCAGATCCCGAGGCGCTCAGGGCTTCAATCCTGGGGCTTGAGGGCTTCTGGGTTTTAGGGTTTAGGGTTTAAGCCTTACGAACGACCACGCGGACCTTCGCGCCCCTAGCGACCCTACCTGACGATGGCGAGGCTGTTCTCCTAACCCAGCGCTCGCGGAGGCTTTTGCGAACGTTTGCAGTTCGGAACTGAAGGACTTAGGGTTTCAGGTTGGTCAGAATCATGCATCTTTTGCTTTCCCTACGGCGGTTATAACCAAAGCGGGGCTGAGCTGGGGCTTCCGTGCTGTCGGAGTTAAGTAATCGACGTTTGTGTGTTGCGGCAAAATGGTTCCGTGTTTAACAGAACCTTGTGTGCACAAGCACAAGCCCAAAGTGGAGATCTCTTCAAACCCTTTGTTCACCGCATCATGAAGTAGTCATATTCGGAGCCCAATTTATTCTGAGACCCGAAACCTGATAGTTCATAGCTTGTACTGATGGCGGTATTCTCTCAGCCCAGCGTATGCCTGGAGGTGGCCGGCTGGCTCTGCAAAGCTGAGAGCGCGATCATCGACGCAGAGAAGTTTCGGAATCTCGATTGTAGGTTCAGCCTTTGCTGGTGCAGAAAGGATGTTCAGGGTTGTGCTTCGAGCGTTCAGGTCCATTCTACAGCGGCGTGTTTTTTGTTATGTTTCGGGCCTTCCTGCTTTGAGTTTGTTTCCTGGCCTTTGGCATGTCGGATCATGTCTGGAGCAGGTTAGGCCGATGCCCAGGGCCCCTGCAGACAGCTTACGTACACTTTCCGACCACAAGAACCAGCAGCCCGATAAGACATACCTTCCTTTCTACTCCTTTACACATGCTACAATAGAAGCCAGAGAGTTGGAATATCATTATCGTAACCCCTTTAAGGTAAATTATAGGGAATCCTACCATTAATCCATATTCCAACTTTCTGGAGTTCCCTGTAGTTGTATAACTCACAGAGCTGAGCCACCAAAACCCAAGTCTGAGCCCGAACCTTCAGCCATACCGGCATGCTTTGGTTCTCCGAGGCAAGGATGCTCAACAGCTTCCCAGAGTCTGATGACGGGCATCTGGTTCCCTAGTAGTTTCGTTTTTTTTACTTTTTCGATGGGGCTTTCTTGTTAAGCCTGAAGAATCGGAAAGTTAAGGGTGCCTCTCTTTCAAGCAAGGCATCAAGGAGCTGCTTGCGGACAAGATGAACTGGAAGGCTCCAGCAAGCCTAAGCCAGTCAGGAAATCTGGTAGCATAGGAATGGGAGTTGTAACAAATTTCGATGACGGTTTTTGAGCGGATGATCGCATACCTATAAAGGAGCTATAAGGAGATGCTTCAGAACTTTACAGTAGCTAGGTCCGGTTGCTCGAGGCTTGGTGACTTCCCAGCATCCAAGTTTCTGCTCTATTGAGTTCAGGGCGCAGGCCAAAGGCCCCAAGCTGCGAACTCGAGCCCAAAGCTCCGGACGGTCCCTTCAACTTAAGACAAACCAAAGCTCCCAAAGCGCTTCAACCTTCAACCCAAACTATCGGGAGGTTCTGGGCAAGTTCGCGGCATACACGGCGCAAGCTGTGGCGGCCGTGGTACCCCTGCCGCCACCTCTAGCAGCGGTGTTGGAGAAGCGCTCCGATTTTACTGCTGTTCAGCCTTGTGGGCTTTGCGGTAGGGTGTTGTGTGTGGGATTTGAAGGTGGGGTTTCGGGGGTGTTGGGGCTTGTTTTTTTTAGGGCTTAGGGTTTAGGGATTAAGGGGCAGGAAATAACTACAAAGCAGCAAGCAGTACAAAACAGCAAGCAGCGACTCCTGTTGCGAAAACCTTGCCCAAGCTGTTGCAAACTCGAAGCCCAGGTGCTCCAATTGGCTTCTCAGCACCCTGAGTCAGACAGCGCAGTACCCCGGCTGGGTGTTCGTTTAAATGGGCCGGCTTCCAGAATTCCAGATCGACTTACTTGCTTGGGCATTCAGAAGGAGTCTTTCTTGGAGAGCCTTGCCATCGATATCTTGCAATATACTTGCTGGTTCGTATGTGCCCGAAGTGTTGAGCGAATGGATTCTGAGACTGTGTTCATACCCCGCCTGTATCTTTGCACCTGAAGCAACGTCTCAGAGTGGAACGCATTCAGCTCAACCAACGTGGAACCCGAAACTACGCCCCTTTTTCTAGGACTGTGGCCCCGGGTTCTCGTAGGGGTACCTAGAAGTATTTTCTAATTCTTGGTTATTATAATCCCTAAGAAACAGCTAAGATTGTAATTTTTGCTAGGGTTCTAAGTTCAGTATAGTTCTGTGTTAGTCTAGGGCCCAGGGCATCGTGGCATGTCTTCCCAAACAGCCCCGGGCCTGGCCCGGGAGGCTTCGGGGCCCAAGATATACGAAATTTTCCGAAAACTAGGGGTTCCTTGAAAGGGATCCTTTAAGGGTTCCTTAAAGGAATCTATAAGGGTTCTATAGAGGGTTTAGGGTCTAGAGTTTCCGAAAACTAGGGGTACCTTATTTTGGGGGTCCTTTAAACAAGTGTCCTACTGTATAGGGTACTCTATTTGGGTCTCCTATTTTCGGAAACTCCCAATATACAAACCTGAACCAGTACCAGTACCAACATTAGTCGTTGGGGGGCTCCTGACTATTACGTTATACTTGCATAGACCCCAAAAGGTCGAGTTGTTAAAGCCCCCAAAGGCAGCTTTCCACCTTAAGCCTTAAACCCTAAGACCCGAAACCCTAGAAGCCACAATCCCTCGGCCCTAATTAAACCCCTTAACCCCAAAACCCTACATTCATAGGGATCCTTAGGGGTGTAGGGGGAGGGGGGGTAGGGGGCCTTAAGGCCCATAATAAGGACGAATAAGGCCTATTTAAGGATCCCTATGAAACGTGGGTGAGGCTGCGAGGCCGCGAGGTGAAAGCGGATCCGAGGTTAGGCCGCGAGGCCGCGAGGTCAGGATACGAGGCCGCGAGATGTTGCGAGGCGAGGCCGAGGTCAAGGCCGCGAGGTCACGAAGCGGGGCGCAGCCATGGCAGCCTTTTCAGGTCCGTTCAGCTGTTGGTTTTCGGACTGCTCTTGGTTTTCGGGATCTCACCGACAACCAAGGATCTGCACGTGCTTGCAATATAACCCCAAATGTTTGAGAAACAAGGAGCGAACCGTTCGAAAGGAACTAGAGCATTTGAGAATAGAACGTCCGAAAGTGATTGCAGTATTTGAGAAACAGGGCGCAAACCGCTCGAAAGAAACTAGAGTTAAGCGTTTGAAAAACAGAAGGCAAAGCGCTCGAAAAGGATTAAAGTATTTAACAGCGCGAAAGGGACATGACTGGAGTAATTGAGAACAGAGAGCCACCCGCTCGGAAGCAACCGGGAGCATACCGCTCGAAATGACTAGATTGTTTGAAAAACAGGGAGCATCCGCGAGAAAGGGACGAGAGAATTTGAGAACCACCAGGCAAACCGTTCGAAAGGATTGTGCAGTATTTGAGAAACACGGAGCTTCGAAACGGACTAGAGACTTTGAGAAACAGAAAGCGAACCGCTCCAAAAGGCTTAGAATGACTAGAGTATCTAAGAAGCAGGGAGCAGATCTGTCGAGAAGGCCTAGAGTTTTTCAGAAAGGGAGCAAACCGCTTGCAAAGGACAACAGTGATTGAAAACAATGAGCAGCCACCTCGAGCGGGACTAGAGTATGCGAATGACAGGGAACAAACCGCTCGAAAGGGATTAAAGTATTCGAAAGATAAATTGCAAACCGCTCGAAAGGAACTCGGGTGTTTGAGGAACATGGAACAAAGCGCTCGAAGGGGACCAGAGGGTCTGAACAATAGGTAGCAAAGCGCTCGCAATGGACTAGAGACTCCGGAAAGCAGGTAGCAAACCGCTCGAAGGGGATTCAGAGAATTTGAAAAGCAAAAGCAAACCGCTAGAAAGCGAATAGGGAATTTGAAAAACAGGTAGCAAACCGCTCGAAAGGGACTAGAGAATTTGAAAAACAGATAGCAAACCGCTCGAAAGGAACTGAGATTTTGAAAAGCAGGTAGCAAACCGCTCGCAAAGGATCACATAATCTGAAAAGCAGGTAGCAAACCGCTTGAAGCGGACTAGAGACTTTGAAAAACAGGTAGCAAACCGCTCGAAAACAACTAGAGAATCTAGATTATGTAGTCCTTTTCTATCGGTTTGCTACGCTTGTAAGATTGTCTAATCCCTTTCGAGCGGCTTGCTACCTGTTTTTCAATTTCTCTAGTCCTTTTCGAGCGGTTTGCTACCAGTTTTTCTCAAATTCTCTACTTCCTTTCGAGCGGTTTGCCACCTGTTTTTCAAACGCTCCACTCCCCTTCGAGCGGTTTGCAACCTGTTCTTCGGATTCTCTAGTCCCTTTCGACAATGTTTTTTTTATCTTTTCAGATCTTCTAGTTCCTTTCAACCGGTTTGCTAACTGAACTGCTCGAAAGGGAGTGGGGAATTTGAAAAACAGGTAGCAAACCGCTTGAAAGGCACTAGAGAATCTGAAGAACAGGCAGCAAACCGCTCGAAAAGGACGAGAAGTTGTAAAAAACAGCAAACCGTTCGAAAAGGATTCGAGAAGACTAGAGAATTTGAAAATCAGGAAGCAAACCGCTCGAAAGGCACTCAAGAATTTAAAAACAGGTCGCAAACAGGGCAGGGGGGAGCCAAGAGAATTTGAAAAAAACAGATTGCAAACCGCTCGAAAGGACACTAGAGACCCTGAAGAAAAGGTAGCCAATCGTTCAAGAGGCACTAGACAATCTGAAAAACACGTAGCAAGCCGTTCGAAAACGACTCGAGATTCTGAAAAGCAAAAGGAGGATATGACAAGCAGGTAGCAAACTGCTCGAAAGGCACTAGAGAATCAGAAATTCAGGTAGCGAACAGGTGGAAAGGGACTAGAGAATCTGAAAAACAGGTAGCAAACCGCAGAGAATCTGAAAAAAAACAGGTAGCAAATCACTGGAAAGGCACTAGAGAATCTGAAAAACAGGTAGCAGACCGCTCGAAAGGGCCAAGAGAATCTGAACAAGCAAGTAGCAAGCCGCTCGAAAAGGGATTAGAGAATCCGAAAGGGACTAGAGAATCAGAAAAAACAGGTAGCAAACCGGTCGAAAGGGTTTCGAAGGTTTCGCGAGGGTGTGCGAGGTCGTTTGGCCTCGGATGCGAGGTCCTGAGGCTGCGAGGTCGTGAGGTCAGGCGTTGAGGTTGCCCAAGCCCGTAATCCCATTGCCAGGTCTGATCTCCAAAGTCTTCACCCCCTAAACCACTAAACCCTTAAACTTCAAGAAACCCCTACACCTTAAATCCTGAACGTTGAGAGCACCACGAAAGGCTCAGCGTTGCGCAGCTGGAAGACACGGCCGGCAAAGCGAGCGAGAAGGCCGCGTCTTTTCGGGTTTACTGTTTTTACGGTGTGAGGGTTTTAGGGTTTAGGGTTCAGAGGGTTTGGGAGTTCAGGGATTTCAAGCTTGAGAGATCGGGGTGCAGGGCTTTGGGTTTAGTGTTGAGGCTTTGGGTTTCACAAATTGAGGGTGTGGCAATTTGGGGTTAGGGTGTATTGAGGGTTACGGGCTGTGCGGTTTAGGGTTTACGTGTGGGGATAGGTCAATGAGGGGTTTGAGTGAATCGGGCTGAGTCCACCTTCCAGGTTGAGGGTTTAGACTGCTTTTAGTTTGGGCCCTCTGTTAGGCGAGAGTTTAGCAACTCTCGCATACGCGCCCAAGCTCACATCGCAACAGCTTCAACGGCCCAAGCTCCATCCCTAAGACCCTGAGCTCCCAAGCCACCTTCCTAAACCCCAAATAAACTTTGAATAAACCCGACACCCGAAGCCGTATAAACCACAAACTCTAGTCGCCCAAGAACGCCCATACCACCCTCCACTGAAGCCCTCAGGAGGCTCATAGAGGGGCCTGCATACTTACCACTGCTACTTAGGGGTTCTTTATTCTAATTACCCATACTATTTAGGGGATTCCTGGTTATAACCATAGTATGAATTTTCCTAAGCCCTAAACCCTAAACCCTAAGCCTTAAACCCTAAACCCTAAACCTTAAACCCTAAACCCTAAACCGTCAACCTTAAACCCTAAACCCTAAGCCCTCAACCCTAAACCCTAAACCCTAAGTGCGAGGTGGTCGCAGAGGAGTTCTTGCGCCTGGGGGCCGCGCAGGTCAGAGCCGCCCAGGCGCCTCGGAGCCCGAGTTTGGAAGGCGGATTCGACCGCCAAAAAGCTCAATGTAAAGCTTGACGCCCTAGTAGGTAACTATAAGGGATCTATAAGAGTACTCTTAGGGGGCCCATTATACTATATTTTTGAAACCCTAATTAAGCCCTGTATAACCGCTCTAAAGCCATCTAAAAATTTTAATCATGAAACCCCCTCAACCCCCAAAATCCCTAAACCCTAAGCCCCAAACCAACAGTTTGGGGTTGTGGCTTCGGCTTTTGAAGCCCCTGCTCGACTTTCGACTCAGGTGCAAGTTCAAGATATGTCCATGATGGACGATCTGTGGCTGGAGGTGGGAGTTTTCGAAAATAGGGGACCTTAATATAGTACCCTAAACAGTAGGATCCTTATTATAAGGACCCCCCAAAAAGGTACCCCTAATTTTCGGAAAGTCCCAGGTGGGTTTTCCCAGAGCATTTCAAGTCTCGCATTGGTTTTTAAGGCTTGCAAGCATGCTTTCTCGGAGGGCAGACACATAGTTCAAAATCTTACCCTCCGCACCCGCCCCAAAGAGCCGGTTCCTAAGCCGTGAATCGTAAACCCCGTACAACGAAAAGGTTTGGGTTTCGGGTTGAGGGTTCCGGGTGGAGGGTTTAGGGTTTCGGCGTTTGAAGCTCAATGTTGAGAGTTTGGGGTTTGGAGTTCAGGGTTTAGGGTTTGGAGTTTAGGGTTTTCAGAAGCC